GGAGGGACTGAGTCTGGGGGGGTGAGGGCTACCAAAGGTGGATGCTTTGGGGACATCTCTGTGAGGAAGCTGGATGGGTTTGAGAGAGACTTCGATACAAGTTTAGGCTCAGTGGCTGTAAAATTCTGAAATTCACTCACTAACCTGAACACAAATGAGAATTTTTATGTTTGAACCCTACCATTAACATCAGGGGAAATTGTAATGGCAGAATTTAAAAGGGACCTGAAAGACAGACACCTGAAAAACATCTTATCATGGTACAGAGAGAGCGAGCTCCCACCTGTGATTTATTCCCTCCTAGAGGAATGCCCAGGTGGGAAGTTAAGATACAGGGATACACCAAAGGATCTGTAAGAATAGAGGACAGGAGAGGTGAGTTAAACAGAAATGGTTTCTCCTGGTAGGATATAATTTTTAAATACATCTTGAAAAGAAGGCCACTAGTTTCTTGTTATGAGTAAGAAAATTTGAGTAAATTTAACAAATACACATCAGTTCTGTGTAACAGGACAAACCAGTAGTAAATTTCCAAACAGGTTCTAATCTCTGAGCAACAATAACAGCTTTTCTTGGTTTTGAAAAAGTTGGTGAGGGTTTATTCGGGGGTAACAACACCCACAAAATACAGATAACACTTAGATTTACTTTAGTTCACAGTTCTCGTAATGCTGAGATGCAAGGCTACGAGGGTCATTTGTTTAAAACACAACTGCTTTCAACAGAAACATTTCTCCTGCCAACCAAAAAAATAAGCCACTTGGCTCTTGAGAAGACTTGGGTAAGGCTACAGAGCAGAGGGGCAAAACCAGGTGCTTGCAAACAAATGTCACAGAGAGGATGAGAGATGCTGTGATCTCTGGATGCCTGGAAGCTCACGTCACACTTGGCTCCTGTTGAGTACGTCGAGTTTAAGACAACCAGCAATACTGTTGAAGAAGGAAGAGACAGTCCACGGGGAAACTCAAGAAGGCACAAAAGTGGTGTTTCAATGGTGTTTTCCTCCCCTACCTCATTCTATCAGAGATGCTCATCAGCTAGGGAAAGAAGGAGTCATCGTTTCATACCTGAGCACTGAAACACTTCCTCATGCCTGGGACACAAACCAATTCCCTCATACACCCCTAGAAGAACATTATGTAAATAGAGTTCAGTACAAAATGCCTGGAAGACCCATTAGCTTTTGGAGTAACTTCACTTTCCTGAGGGAAGAGGCAGGAGCTAAGAGAAGGGCAAAGCTAGAAGAAACCAAGCTCGTCTCATCATCCATTTCTCCATTTCATCAGGCGTTTCTTGGAGGCTTTTCAGAGGAGCAAATGCTAATCTGAGCACTACAAGAAGGACTCATTTACAATACAGTCCTGCTGGTTGAAACTGAGAGCTGGGACATCTGGATCATCCTAATAATGATGCTCCTGAGAGAAAGGATGAATTGCCCCTTCCCCTCTCTCATTCACTGCTACGTGCCTGGTGCAGGCTGCAAATCAAAAAAACCCCTTCACAATTCAGTGAGTGCTCGCACCCAGGAGCACAAGACGTGATTGCCTTTATTTTAGTATCTATGTCTCAGTTATACCTCACATGCAAGCAGCATCCCTTTGGGTCATGAGCTACAAATTGTTCTTTCCAGCCACTTGAGCAGAAATTTCCCAAGGACAGCAGGGAGACCATCACCCTCCCTTCTTGAGCAGGAAAGGGAGCACAAAACACACCTGTAAGGCTCCTTCAGGGTTAAAATGTGTGTTTCAGACCGAGTGGTCAACAAAAAAGGAAGATGGAGGCAGAAGTGAGAAGCTGAGGAGCCTGGGAGCATACCTGGGAGCAGAAGCAGGGCAGGTGGCTCCCCGGAGAGTGGGAGATCAGGACTGGCAGCACAGTGGTCACTGGGCAGCATTTCCCAAACGACATTGATCCACATCCTGCCCCCAAGTGATTTCATCAGTCGTGCTCCTCCTCCTCCCAACCGCGACTCAGCTGTTCCCCAGCTACCATCAAAGCACTGCAGATCCCTGTTCCTTTTCCCACCGAGCTCCGTGTGCTTCCCCCACTGGGAAATGCTGCTTTATAAAGGAAATACTTTGGGGATTTGGGAATGAAGGAAGAAACAGCCCCAGGCAGAGAGAAGGCTTCCCACAAGCGGAACGGAACATGAGGCAGCAAGGAACAGACGCAGTGTGGTGGGGAAGCATGCGACAGAGAGGGGAGAAGGCACGGAAAGAACACCACGTTTGGACAGTGCAGTATTAATACCCTGAAGGTAAGAATTAAAGCAGTTCCAGCTGAAAACCCTCCCGCAGTAACCTGTTTAATTCTTTGCCAGAACAGGAAGAGGAGATCCAGCGGCTGATGAGGACAACAGAACTGACCCATGACAGAAAGAGAAAATGGCTTGGGGGGTAGATTATTGAAGTGGACTTCAAGCGATCACAAAATAATTAAAAACAGAAGTTTGAAGAATTTTGGAGACACCATGCAGTCAAGAAAGCAAACAATCCTTAAGAAGCAGTAAGAGGTTGTTTGGAATGGACCGCACAGTGACTGTACAGCTACACAGGAGAATGATGATGCAAGCCCTTGGCTACCTGATACACGTGATTTTGTGGAGGAGCTGAAGGGATGTTGGAATGCTCTATTTTTATAATGTAATAATCCTACATGTTGGCTTCACAACCTGGCTGTGGTGAGCAAGGAGCTCTAGCTCTTCTCTCCCTCCTTTGATGCATCATTTAGCTTGATTTTTAATTTGTACTTCCCCCCCCCCCAGCTTTTTCGCTGTTTTGCCATCCTCTGGGGTGCTGATGATTAACTACAATCAGAGAGATACAGGGCAAACTGCATTGGGGCTCTTAATGTTGCATTTCATCAGTGGCCTGGCCAGTATGTCCTGTCCATGTGATTAAGGGTTAAAATCAGCATTAGAGGTCAGAAGGAGATCCCCTTTCTCCCGTCTCCAACTACCCTGCAGTATTTTTTTTTGAGAAGGCAACAGTTTCAATCACTCTTGCTTTCTTCCAAAGGAACATTGCAGTTTTTGGTCTTTAAGACTTAATTTTGTCACTGCTTGGTAAGGCTTTGTTGACCACCTGTGGCAGTAGCAGGGAATGGGTGTTCTTCTGGGGACCCTGCTGAGCTAGACATCCCTTGCAGGCTGAACTACAATGTGTGTGAGGGTGGGACACAACAGCACATTTTAGTCTTAACTTCATTTATGACTTAGAGAAAATTATCACCTTTAAATTTCTTCAACAGTAGTATTAACCAGTGAACTGTATTTAAGAGTTTTGTAGGAATCGGTGAGTCAAATGCTATAATCAAATAGCATGAAGAACACCAGCATTCCCAACATTCCCCAAAACACACTGACATCTATTTCACCATTCCAGCTTAAAACACAAACTCAGTTTGTTCAATATTCTGTTTCTGCCACTAGCTAATACCTTGAAAGTGACTTTCTCTGCCATAAATCCCTAAGACAGGTGCACAACACAGAGTGAAAAGATGCTCAGACTGAAGCTCCCAAGAACAAAACTTTGGTGTGTATGTCCATTTTACTCACTGCAGTAGAAATGCTCCCCATTGCGTCGATCACAAAACTACCTCCACCTCCTTAAAAAAATCCTGTCTTTGTCTTTCTAGTGCTATTTCCTTCCCCAAATCAAGAAATCGGAATAGCTGTCACATGAAGTTTCCTAATTCCTTGATCTGAATTTCAGTTCTGTGATGCATAACACAAAGAATCACAGAATCACAGAATTGTGGTGGTTGGAAGGGACCTCAGAGATCATCGAGTCCAACCACAAAAAGAAAAAAAAAAAAACAAACCACCACACCACCTAAACACACAACAACAACCAAACCAAAAAAAAACCATCACCCACCCACTCAGCAGCCCACGACAAACCAATAATCTTGGGCACTAGAGCATGCCCTGAAGAAACATGTCTACACGTTTCTTAAATACCTCCAGGGATGGTGACTCCACCACGTCCCTGGGCAGCCCATTCCAATGCCTGACAACCCTTTCAGTAAAGAAATGTTTCCTAATATCTAACCTGAACTTCCCCTGGCGTAATTTGAAGCCATTGCCCCTTGTCCTGACATCTGTAACTTGGGAGAAGAGACCAACCCCCGTCTCTCTACAGCTTCCTTTCAGGTACTTGTACAGAGCTATAAGGTCGCCCCTCAGTCTCCTCTTCCCCAGACTGAACAACCCCAGCTCCCCAGCCTCTCCTCGTAAGAATGGATCTGTCCAAATTTAACTTTTTACAGAATTGGCCTGGGTAGGATCTAGCAGTTCATTTCCTTTGCTGCTACATTAGACCCTTCAGAATTTGTTAGCTTTTCTCAAGTTACCGCTATTTTTGCCACAACTTGTGACGTCAGTTGGTATTTCTTTTGAACACTGTATGAGATACCAGTTTTAAAAATATCAATAATTTAGTCTCCAAAAGTATAGCATGCAACAATACATATTATTATTTCGCTGTCTTTTCAAGTTACAAGTCATTTTGTTTTCTCTCCACTTTGGATTGCAAACTGATGCAACTGTTTAGGGGTTTCAAAATCACAACTGCACACAAAAAAGTCCTTTCAACTCCCACTAAAAAACCACAAAAACAACAACAGCAACATAAAAAAACCCCACAACCCAAAAAACCTGTAGAGAACAATGTCCCAAAATGATCAACTGTCTTGAATTCAACCATCATAGTCCAGGTACTCTGTCATTACACACTGTACTTGCTTCTGTTGTCTTGTCACCTGCCGCATGCCTGCTCTAAAATAGATTAGGAGATAGTGAATACAGACGTGTGATAAGTGTACAGATATAACTGAAAAAAGGTTACAAAGGGGATACTTGGAAGACTGCAGACACTCTAGAGCATTAGATTGAACAGCATGTGTCTCTAAGATGCATTTCCAGATGCACACCCACCACGTTCTTTTCCCTAATCCTCTCATTCACACAGCTATATCCACAAAAACCACAAAGACACTGATTTACATAAAATTATCTCACTCCATTTTATTTAAGATTTTCTTCTCCAGTTAGTAAAAGAAAGATGTGTCTCTCTTTATACATATGTACAAGTTCAGTTATAAAAATAGACAGCACATTCAAAGAGAAAAAAAGGCTTGGCATTTGTCTGATTCCCTCTAAATAACATATATACATGTGAATAGAAGGGGATGGGGGAAGTCTTCATGAGCTAATTAAACACCACCTCCCCCTCAATTATCCCCTGCGAATCTGTTTAAAAATCAATCTAACTAAGCTCAGTTCTGCTATTTTCAGGTGTGCAAATTAGAGGCAGAGCCAACAGGAAGCACTCGCTCCACACTGTAGGACGCCAGGCAAAGGATTTGGGGTTGGAAAAAAATTAAAATAATAATAATAAAAAAAGTCATTTTCCGCTGTCACAGCCCAGGCCTGCAACTCAACTTGCTTCTCTCTCAAAGGATGAAAGTGCCCCGGCAGAACAGCCTTTTCATTCAACGTGTCAGACAGAAGAACTGCCCCACACCTAAATCTCAGTGCAATGCAGACAATGCTTACAGCAAAGCGAGGGGGCTTCGGGGTGGGGTGAGGGGGGAAAGTTGTGCATCGAGAACAGGGAAGGAGCAACCAGAGAATGGGAACACAGATGGGCACTGGCAGCGCCGCCTTCTCTCGTCAGCCTCGTGGGACACAGCTGCTGGTACCGCACACCGCAGTGAACTCAACCAAGCCAGTACGTGGGACAGTCACAGAGATGGAGGGAAAACACACTGGAAGAACAGTCAATGGATGGCTGGGATACGAGACAATTTTTTTACCTAGGATTTGGCTGGAAGGGGGAATGGCACAGTTGCCTCTCTCTCAGGACTGTTGTTTTTTGTTGCTCCCCTCGCAGCCCTGCAAGCTGCAGAACCGCACTCTGCTCTGGCACAGTGAGAGGAGCAGCACCAAACTCTTCCTTCCTCTCAAGGTTTGTACAAATAGGGCCTTATTTTGTTTCTAAGCTCTTAGGAGTTCTGCACACCTTAAAAGTGAGAAGGTAATTCTCACACGGTGAGTGTTCACACTGCTGAGAACTCTGAAATACAAACCAAAGCACTGTGGGACAGAGGCAGTGCTGCTGCTCTCACTGGACATGCCAGCATTCTGCACCTGCTCCTGACAGATGCTGCTGAAAAGAATCCATTCCCTGGAAGCCACCTGAGACACCTTCCTTTGCCTTTCAAACCTTTAAAGAACCCAGAGGCCCACACTAGAAGAATCCAAGATTATTTGTTGGTTTTTTTTTTTTGATCACACAACATTTTCAGCTTAGCCCCCAACTACCACCGCGTGTACACCGACCAGCTGCCAGCACGGAAATGTCTTCTGACTCTACAGGATACTCCTGGGGTTCAGATAAATGATTTCGTAGGATAAAACTAACGCTGGGTTCCACCTCAAGCTACAGGAGAGAAAATACATCGGTGTGACTTCATGCACACACAGCTGCAGGATATTGCATGGAGTAGCTGGATGCTTTCTTGGTAATCTTTGTCAGGTGCGTCAACAAACCACAAGCTGACACTCTACCAGTCACCCCAGACTCCCTTCCCTCCTTCTCAAAGTATCTGCAAAGATAGTTTTTTTGGAATACACATAATCAAAGTGCTCGCATAATCCGCCCACTCCCATTGTGCTTTGATCTTTATTTTCACACACTTGCTGGACAGCAACAAGGCGTTCGTTCGTTTGCCTCCCACCAGTAGGCAGGGTGGCCTGCTCTGAAAGCCAACGCAGTTCAGACAAGCTCTGGGGGGTTCAAAATTACTACCGACCACCTGAGGCGTGGGCACCTTTGCTTTGCTTCCGAATTGGAGTTTCTGATATGAGACTGCTGGTCAGGTTTAAGCTTTTGGAGGTCCCACAGATACTGTTTCCTTTGCTCAAAGGGGAGCTCAAGGGAGAGGAGGCGCTTGAAGGTCCAAAATCTGCAAGTCCAGAAGGCCGAATAATCGCTGTTTGGAGAGGGCTACTTGCAGACATGCCTGGCAATGGAAAAGAGAATCAAATTCCAAGTGAGAATGTTATTCCACTTGTGGCTCTTCAACAGCAAACCATATACCAACCATCAGTCCTAAGACCACCCTGTATTCATGATTTATGAGAGTTTAATGAAGAGGGATTTCCTTAAGATATAAAACATCTTTCAGTAATACCCTGGGTACCTGCAGCTGGTGTAAAGCTGAAGCTCCATCACCATCAGTTTAGCTGATTTTGAGACCTGATGCTGTAAGCTTCAATGTGACAGCAATGCAGGAAAGTCACAGCTTACCCATGGGATAAACACCACTATCTGATTTCTCTGGACACCACAGTAAAAAACTTGATATAATTCAAAGGGGAGATGAAATTTCTGTAGGACCAGGCTCTCAAGGACACTGCCTATCCTCTCACACCATTACCACATCACACTGTGTGTTGCCTGGATCTCAGAATATAACGAACAAGCAATACCAATAATAAAACAGTTTTTAATCTATTTTTTTCAGGCTGCAAACAACAGTCTCCCAAACATATCGTGGTTGGTTCCACTCTGGCAGGCTGCTGCCTCCCGGTCCCCACGTACCTTTGGAGACGTTGTACCCGTAGGCTGCGTACGCCGCTGCGGAAGCCGCCGCTGCCCCTGCTTTGGCTCCTGCCATGGCAGCCGCGCTTCCCGCGATGGATTTCCGGCTCCTGCCTTTCCCGGTGCCACCTTTTGATCCACTGCCAGAACCTTTAGGACGACCCCGGCTTCGACCCGACTGGCCTCTCCCAGTGAGAGGTGTATCTTGCATTGAAACACCTTCGCAAAAAAAGAATGTTAAAATGGTAACTGCTACAGTATTTCCCACAAGAAGAAATTACACATACAGAACAGATGGGGTTAATGGAGAGGGAAGTTATCTCAAACTGCTTGTCCTTATTGTTATAAATCCAATCCCCAAATAGGTGGAGGATTCCGGGTTCTACTTCAGCATTTTCTTACTTGAAGACATGAAGATACGAAGTTTCTTCAATTTGCTACCTCTAAAGAAACTCCTCAAGAACTATGTCTCTACTTGCTTCAGTGAAGAAAACTATGACAGTTAAATACATTCGCCATTATTTAAAATTACAGCTGCTCCAATTACCCACTGGAAATGTAGAACTGAGTATTAGCCCAACAGCAGGGAAAAGCTTAGAGACTGGTAGTTCTGTGGCTGTCTGTAATTTGGTAATATGCACATAATGGAAGGGGAGCTCTCTAGAACAAAGGACAAAACTTTTCAAGTAACTAACACAGAAAAGAGGAAAGTGTGGTGAATAAGAGAGACTATAAACAGATTTCTTATCAAATCAGAATTAGTTCCTCAATGAAAAGGCAATTTTTTGCCCCAAATCCTGTTAACCATGCATATACTCTGGTTAAAATGCAGAAAACGCATCACCTAGCCATACAAAGTCAATGTTTAATAAGCATTAGTAGTAAGTAAAATAATAAGCAAAAGTACTGACCATTCATGGTATCTGAAACCGAGCCAGTAATGGAAGCAGGAGAGTTGGTTGCCCTTGACTGAGGTGCTGAAGAAGCTGGATCATCCACAATCACAAGCATATCACTGCTGCTCTCATCGGGAGGGATAGAGCCCATGTGTAACTCACTGCTGATGGATATCTAAACACGACAGAGAAGAAAGCCTTTAGCTTCTCGGCTTAGGAAAGGGAAGGGTACAAACATAAGAAGATCTCTGAAAGACACAGTCACAGGTAATTAACTGGTACTTTTTTTGTTCTCTCTCATTTTCTCTATGTGAGACTAGCAGCATGGTATGTAAGCACACCACACCCTCTATTTACATGCTGAGGAGCAGTGAAGACCTCCAGGAGCTACTTGATTTCAATTCACAGATGTTAAGGTAAGCAGGAGACTAATGGTCTCAGCAGAGATTTAAGAAAACTGCTGTTAAGCTGTGTATCTTCAATTACAAGAGAGAAAGCAATAGGATTCTTAACCTACTACTACTGCTAGTAAAAATCTTGGTCAATTGGGAACAATACAGCACAGGAACGTTAATTAACATGATATAGAACAAAATATATTTGCTGCCAAAGCCAGTTTGCTATTATTTACAAAAAGATGAAGGAAAATAAGATGTGTGACACTGAGAATTAAAGATTTTAATTCCAGAGGGAAAAAAACCACAGTAATTCATAAACAGAAGTAAGGAAGGAAGCAGATAGGGAGATGTGGATTAAACTAGCAAGGAGAACATCAAAGAGCTATTTGAGGGATACTTTGGTTCGGGAGCAGAAAGAGACTGTTCTTGCTATGGGAGGCAGCACACGGGTATAAATGTGAACATGACAAAAACAGGAAAAAGAGAGAAGAAAGTAGGAAGAAAGTAAGTGGGACTGCAGGCAGGAATGGAAAAATTTCAGGGGGTGAAAGGGAGAAGAGTCAGGACATGAACTCACTGTAAGAAAAGGGAGGCAGAGAGCAAATGAGGAGGGAAATAACGGAATGTCAAATAATATAAGGCAGCTTATTACCAGCTATTATGTTTCAATCATTTATTTTCATTTCCATGGTTTGCCTTTAAGACATCTCACTTCCCCACATACTTAAGTTCTACACTAGCTATAATAACAGAAAGCAAGAATCCTACAGGAGGTAAGGCCACAACTGAAACAGTATGTAGTTTGTAGCAGCAGAGTGTTACCTCGCTGAAAGGGCTGGGCATGGCAGAGTCTACACTAATGAAGGAGTCATCCCCATCAGCAGACAGGTTGGAGTTATCGGCTGAGGGAACAAACGGGATCACAAGGTTCATGCCTTCTTTCTTTCTCTTCCCATCCAATTCATCTTCCTTCTTCTTCTGAAATAAACAAAACAATACCAGGAATGAAAAAATGCAATAAAACAGAAGAAAGGGAATAAACAATCCAAAATCTCCACATCTAATGCAGCTCAAGGAATGCCATGCCCAGAACTACCCAAAACAAGTTTCTGAATGACACAGTAACAGATCCCCTAAAGGCTCCTTCTTCAGATTTAAGTAGCATTTGTTGGTTTTTTTTTTTCCTCCTAAAATAGCTGGAAAGATGGAGAATTACAGAATTACTTTAATTTCCACTACCTTTTGAAGTGAGCTTGAAATTCTTTACCATTACACAAAATTCCAATTAATTAATGCAAAGCCTCTTTGTCTCAAAAATTCAGAATTTTCATAAACTAGTTTTAATGATCTTTTTTAAACAAACTGACCTTCCCTAGTTCCACAGATGCCACACAGTTATATTGGTTTTATCTGTGTTTTGTGCTTCATTTACATTCCCTTTTTGTCCTTGCAGAACAAAATCTTGATTAAGTCACCATTTTATATGCCACAGATTGATCAATTGATCATTTTGGTTTTTCAAGCATGAGCCCACAAGCTGTTGTCTGTAGACTGCCAGTGATCTATGGTGTTGTCTGGGTATGCAGTACCTTCCTGACTTTTGAAGTTGCTAATGACATTAAAATTCAGATAACTATGCATTACGTATTTTTAATATCCCTCTTCTGTGTAAGGAAATGCCACAGGTTGATGTTCAATGATGAAGGGAAGAGGCTTTCCCTATTAGATTGCCTTTGCATCAAATGTTCCCACAACACGTAAAAGTGAGCCTGAAGCTTTTCTGGCTCTACCACTGACACAGGCAACCTCTTTGCATTCAAGTACCTTTTCAGCATATTTTTCCCTTTTACGTTTACGTTCCTTCACACGATTTGTTTCTTCTTGCTGTCGTTTCTCTTCTTGACGCTGACGCACTGTCAGAAAAGAAATACCAAGTTGTCACCATTGGAAAGGTATTTCATTATCCTTTTGTGAATCTTACAAGAAATTCTAGTTCTAACAGAACTGCAAAGAAGAATTGGCTGTATTAAAACTAAAACATTGAAAACACTACGTATTCAAACTATTTGCATTCAAATTACTAAAGTCTTACAGTGAAATTCTTCTTTCAAGCAACATAAAAGCGTATACCTCAAATATAGCTTCAAAAGAATGATGAAATACAGCATTTTTACTAAAACTTTTCTTGTCATGACCTACATAATTCTTGTCAAAGCTTTGTCACTCGGGAACAATGCAATGATTCTGAATGAGTGCCAATAAAAACTTTATCACATCATCAGGTCTCTCACACAACTTCATCTCAGCTCAGCAGCGATATGAAACCAGCTTGTACTAACAAGAGTTGGCAATACAAAAAGAGCCAGGAAACAGAAGTTGTTACCAGCAATACATGTGTTTGTAGAGATAAAAACACAGATTTCATAAACTAATGAAGTGGAAGATGGGGAAAATGCTGCAACATGGATTTCACATACATTTCTTTTCTAGCTCCTCATCATCCAGCAGAAGGCTGACCACCTCTTTTGGCTTCAGGGTGTCAGGTTTGAAATTGCCACCTGAGATGACCATTCGTTGGATCTAGAAGGAATAAAACAAAGAGAGAAAAAAAAGAAAAATTACTCAAAGCAGCCATGAACTCACTACCCTTCACTGAAAGCCAGCCAGAAAACAGATGCCAGCGCATCTACATAAGTCAGAACTGACTTCTCTATCACACCAAAGTTAGTAGCAAAATTTCAGGGAGGATTTTATTAAGAATATAATTAAGGATATAAAATAAGAGAAACAACTAAGCTAGAAGGCAGGAAACTGCCAGTCCTTGTGCAAAGCTGCACATCTATAGCACCATATAATAAACAACAAATGATAACAGTATTAATATACTGCTGAACAAAAAGAAAACAATACAGCAGTATTCCTGTCAGTTCAATTTCTCAAGTAACCTGCACAGAGAATCACACAGATCATGTTCTTAGAGGGCATGACATTTCTAGTTTCTTTGACTGAAAACTAAATCTCCATATTGAGTCAGTGTCTCAGTTTAAGCAAGCCACTCAAACTCTATGACTGCAACTATATTTAAAAACAAACCAACAAACAAACAAAAAAGATTGGAATTTAGGAAAAGAGAACAAGCTTCAGCATAAGCCAATATGCCTATGTCGATCATTTGGATCACCAGCAAAAAGGCTATACTCTATTTTTTAAGTTGATTATCGAGTGACTCTAGTGCAGTATCCCAGAATGTGAATGCATTCAGCTGGAGATGCTTCTGTTGCTGCAGCACTATGATGAGCATCTAATTAATACAAAAGCTAAAAGAAACCCCAAGTACACAAATACAAGTGAATGTTTTGTACAGTATACCTACTGCTACAAAAGAAAGTGAACCTGCTTAATATTTTCCTACCCAATAAAGCATCACAAGGTTTATAAAGTTTCTAATACACTTAACTGCTTGAAGCTGCAGGACACTGAGCTTTTCTGGCAACCCTCATACTTCAAATAATTTTCACTTGATTACCTTCCAAATTTCTTTCAAAAAAAAACCCCCAACCCTCCAGCTGTGGCATAACAGTATAACGTGGGAGGAATCAGTAGCCCTGACACAGCAAAGACAGAAGTTCCAGTCTAAAAGAAGTAGTTCCATTGCATCATAAGAAATAGTTTTCATGAAGTCATGGTGTAAATAATTAGCTTCTTCATAGTTCATATAATGCAGCTGTAACGCTGCTGTGTTAGGGACACAGATTTTTTTTTAATTTAAACAAAGACATTCCCTTTTGTCTCTCTTCTGTCTCCCTGCAGATACGTTTTCTGTTTCTTTACTCATTTTGATATGTGTTTTCTGATACTGTGTCTTGTTCCAGATGATTTTTTTATTCCTACCTCACTCTTTTCCTTAGCCCTTTGTAGGATGCGCTCCTCAATGGTGCCTTTACATATCAATCTGTACACGGTGACTTGTTTTGTTTGCCCCAGCCTGTGTGCCCGGTCCATGGCTTGCTGATCTACTGTTGGGTTCCAGTCACTGTCATAGAAAATTACCTGTGAAAGAACACCAGAACAGGAAGGATTAAATAAAACCATACATTTAGAGCACTTAGTGATTAAAGAAGCAAAAATCCAATATATTGATAAAAATAAAAGTTCTGCTACACACCCCACAGAATCACCGCCCCACTGCAGGCTGTAGCAACTTAGCTTTGCCCAGTCCTAGTGCATTTCAGATTAAATCAAATAACTGGTGCTGGGAATGTTTCAGCTTTCATCCTGTATCTTCTTCAACAAATTTGCTTTGGAGCTACAAAATCCCTAAATTTGCCACATTAAATCACCGCCATGTAATTAGTTATGGGCAAACCACATCATGAACCCATTTCTACCTTAAGAAGAAAAAGCCCATCAAATCAGAATGTCACATGAAAAGTAATACTTTTTTTTTCTTTCAAACCTAAATAATGTTTAATCTAGTTTAACATTTCTATTTCTTTTACTACAAAAACCTGAAATGCCATATTACATTTATATTGCTCTATCATTCCAACAGCACTTTATGCACGGTAAGCATACAAAACAAAAACATTTAAAAACCCCTTTAGACAGCAAAGTAAAATATTCAGAAAGTTACAAAACCATAGAACTAAAAATGCTTGTGTAAGGACCTTGCAGGTGCATACCTGTGCTTCAATCTGTTTCATCTGTTGAAACAACTTCAATTAAGAGAACTTTTAAACCCTGAAAATCCTATAGATAAAACTCGCTTTCCTCCCATTTCTTGTGACAGCACGATAGGGTATTTTTAAAAAAGAATTATGTAACATTTTTGATTCAGAGGTCGTTGGTTTTGTGTGGCTGAGTGACTACAGTGTGTCTTGGGGTCAAATCTGCATGCACACAAGGTATTGGGTTAGAAGCACAAGAATAGCTGTTATTGAAGAGAGAAATGGTTGATGTATGTCAGTATTCCTCCCCTAATGATTACCACCAGCTGCTCCAGAGAGAAAACCCTTGTAATTCACCTAAATAACTACACATTTACACCCTGGGTGAGCAGGGGACAAGAAATGTATCCTTCCTGACTACCTGATATTCATCCACAAACGACTTTGTACTTTTAGAGGCACCGCTTCCTTCTTCTGTGCCCAGAAAATAAAAGGCTAACTGATCCCTGTTCTACAGATTCCTTTGCTGCTGAACCTTAACAACAGTGGTACGTCAAACAGCATTCACTGTATGAAAGTGCTATTTGCACCTGTAGACCCCAACAGTCATCCAACTCCTTTCTAGACTCTGGTACTGAAGTATGTGGGGAGAAGAAAAGTTATTTCCAGCTGTGTACCATGTGTCCAATATTCTACAACTTTATCATCAAGATAGTACTATATTATAAACATGAGCAAAGTAAACAAGGTTATGCAATTTCATGACGTGAACAGCAGTACTAAAAAAAACCGAAATTGATCGGCATGGCTAAAAGAGTGCCAACGTTCACACAGAAAGACCATTTTTCCCACCTAAATCATGAGGCTGGAAGGCAAGAGATGAGCACCTTGGGGAAAAACGGTGGTTGGAGGCATATGAGTCAGGAAAAGCAAATAAATATTTATACTGAAAACTATACATCAGTAAGCTGATTTTTTATTCTGTATTACTTTACCAAACTTTACCTACCGTATCTGCAGCTGTAAGGTTAATGCCCAAGCCTCCAGCTCTTGTGCTTAACAGGAACACAAAGATATCATTCCTGTAGAGGAAAAAGATTAAAACTCCCTTATTTTGTGCATGATGTACAAGAAATAACAACAGAAGTAAATTTTTTCACCCATATAAAGTGACCAGGGCTATTTCTATTACTTGAACACTTTGGAACATTTTGTGCAGTTCATGGTCAAGAAAAAAAAGCACATATGAATGAGTGAGAGAAGTTAATCTACAGATCAGGACTGTTGGAACACACAAACATTCAGTTTGCAATAGCAGCTTAATAATCGCTATCAAAACAAACCAGGCTTGTTTATCTTGCCCACATTGGAAATTAAGATTTCGTATGCACAAAGAACAATTTATTGTTTCACAGAACTGATCGATGTTAAAGAAAATCTTGCCTTAACAATGGTCAATTCATAAAGAAAGAAAAATAAATGTTGAAACTGCAGAGATCCAAGTTTTGTTCTAAATTTTGTGCTTTGAACAGAACAAAAAACTCCAGGAGGGTGGGGAGGGTTGAAGGGGGAGAGGAAGAGTCATCTTAATATAAAAGCAAGCTGGCAAATATAGAGGTACATTAGAAAAGGACAAGGGTCCACTGGCACAAACAGAAGTCCTTCAGGCTAAGAACTTCTCGATCCTACTCCTAATTGTGTCACTGATTCAAACTAAAAGTTCTAATCTCCTTTGACCACTTATCTGTAAAATGAGGATAAACTGATTCATCTCAAGACAGTCACATAACAATTCAGTTGCGATTGACCGTAAAATGTTTCCAGGATGACTACACAGGCTGTACTCATGATCAGATACTGCACACAAGCAAGTCTCATTCATTTCTTCTTTAATGGCTTTAGGCTGGAGGGAAGCAGATTTAGATTGGAGATGAGGAGAAAGTTCTTCACTGTGAGGGTGGTGGAGCACTGGAACAGGTTGCCCAGGGAGGTGGTTGAGGCCCCATCCCTGGAGATATTCAAGGTGTCCCTGCTGACTGTGGGGAGGTCGGACTAGATGACCTTTGGAGGTCCCTTCCAGCCTGGACAATTCTATGATCCTATTCTATGATTCTATGAAACACACTGTCAACAACTGATGTCTATTATTACTGCACACGTGCTGTCCTTCCCACCTTGGAGCAGTTTTAGTTTGCAGTAACTGTATTACATTTACATTCCTTGGGATTCCTCAGACAGCATGAACACCGATGACAAACAAGTTGCCTTTGGTGAACGTGCCCCTCCAGACAGAAGGAAGGCCCTACCAGAACATGGATCGTCATTCCACAACACACTTCAGGAAAGCCATGTCTGAACACCTCCCCGGGAGATTCATAAACCATAGTACAGTTATACCAACCCCAAGGGTGAGACTTGCTGACACCAGATTTAGTGATGCTGGCTGCTAAGAGAGAGATGAGGCGTCCCAACACCTGACTTGGAATAATCCTCTAAGCCTAATAATCCTGTATGTAATTAAGGAAGGTGGGGCACACGAGATAACTCCCTGTAACAGTGCACTAAGCCCTTGCTGAGGAGTCAGATAAACATCGTTGAGATTCAGTGGCCGTTCTAACTCTGCACAGACAGAAGACAAAGGAGACAGGTCTGTACACAGGATGGCCAAGTACAGAAAACTCAAGTGGTAACAGCAAAATCAGGATTTCTGCTAAGGTTGAGAACCTCCCTAGTGCCACTGGGGGGTCAGCAGTAACTAAAGCATTATCACCATATGGATCTGCAAACAGGTTGATGCAAACAAAGCAGAGAGTACCAGTAAGGGCTCCAAAGAGGTTGACATACTGTACTTTGACAGTGACAGAGCAAGGCCCTCTGCTTAAAAAAGACACTCTGCAATGCCACATCCTTTTGGCCCCATGCTGTGTGTACACCAGTGCATGTAAAATTAGTAACACACCAGAAACTCTTGCTGAATGAGTAGCACGGGACATTTCCTTCTTGACTATCTATGTGTAGGCAGTCTGTCCTTGAAAGTCCACTCATCAAATCTAAAGGGTCTTTCTTGCCCTTCCTGGAGGAAGTGTGGGTGTATTGCACGCTATTACGCATATACTAATACAACTCAACAAATGTAAAAAACCTACGGGTTTTGTTATCCGTATCCTTGAAGGTCAAGTAGAACCTATTTTCTCAGGATTCAAACTTCAAGACATTCACAAGTACCTGGCAAGGCTGTATCATAAAAAACAGACTCTCAAAGAACTCATTCTGGTCTAAGGTAAGATTTTCCCCCTTATCTCTAAGGTAAGAAATTACCAGCAAAGAACAGAAATAATTCTGAAAATTATGAATTAACAGTCACGAAAAAAAAGCACCAAGAACTCTAAAATTAGAAAGGTTTCTGGCAGTCCAAAATCTAAGAGTACAAAAACCCATCCCTGAGCTACAGAGAGCTGGGAAGAACTGAAGCTGAGCTGTCAATCTCTTTATAAACTTTCTCTTGCAGGTACAAAGCTAAAGGAGTCAGCAGGTGCCTGTTTGGGATGTAGGCAACCCTGGCCAGGAAATCTTTTCACTCCTGTCACAATAGTGGGACGTGCGTATAGACAGTAACCTGAACATCCAGCTGTGAAATGCTGCTGGAAGTGCCATATGGGAAGGAAAGAAAGTGGACAGTGCCACAGACCACAGGAACAAATTATCGTTCCATAGCCATATATTTGCAGCACCCTGCTAGGATATCCTGCAGGATAGTTTAGTCTCAGTCAGGCTTTTTTCCCTGGAAATATTTCTCATCAGTAAATCATGTATAAAAGGAACTCAACTAACATTTTAATAGGAATTCTTGTTTAGACTGGCTGACCCGTATCTCAAAGGGATTTCCTGCCAAAATCATTATTTTTCTTCAGTTGTTCTGTTCGTTAATAAAACCAAATTATCTTCATTAATAAAAATAAATTTCTTCACTTCTTTTGGTTAAAGAACATTACAGGAAGAAGTGTCAGGACTCCAGGAGGACATCATAACCTGCAAGGAACATGCTTCTGACACATGGAAACAGGGAGAAGGTACTGCATGGTTCTCTCATTTACTTCAGGTATTTGGCATTCATTGTTTTCAAGTTTTATTTCTCTCAGGAGTTCACCAGAAGACTCATCATTGCAACACAGTCCTTTGGGTTTTTAAGCCTCGTGAAGCAGTGGCCTGAAAGGCTTCCTCTCCTATCTTCAGCTAGGATACCTTGGGGCCACTAACAAAGGACTATTTTCTAGTCCAGAATGCTGCTTTCACCCCACAATAAACTTTCCTTTTTCCTCTGAAAAAGGAAAGTGATTTTACAAACTCACCTCAACATCCAGGAAGGGTAACCTTATTGTGAACTACCATACCAAAGTGACATCCTACCAAGCTATATCTCATAGTTAAAAGTAAAGTTAATAACCATAAATTCAATCATTATAAATAAAGCACCTTAGTGGAGACAAAGTTATAATAAAATATATTAACTTATTATAAGATGATTACATACTCTTCTTTCCTGATGTACTCATAAAAATCACAGGAATCCATTTTGTTTTATGAAATGAAAAGAGTTAGCATATCTTAGTATCTAATAAAATCCCCGTTTTATCTCTTGTATATTAGTTTAATGTTGAACATAAACATGCTGAAACAGTTTGTTTTGCAGAAAACTAGGTCACTTTGGAAATCTTGCATGTGCTAGAGGCTTTGAATCTCATCTTCACAGTGTCAATTATCAGAGCATATAATAACCAAGGAACATTTGCTGCCTTTCTACTGAGCTTCTTTATAAGCAATAGCATATTTGGAACAGTAAGAAACACAGTAGGTGGGTACACTGAAATTACTTCCATGACTGCTTCACGGATGGTAAGTTCCTAAATACAACTGGTTTCAATATCAACACCAGTGACTCCTGGTCAGGAAACCACCTAGAAACTGTTTCCGATAAATGAGGTCCGTTTGATATCAGGAAAGATAATTTAAGTGCAAATTCAATTTTCTTCCATTACATCTTATACCAACTCCCTAGGTACACACGATTTAGCACAAAAACACCTTGTAAAATGCATTATTACCTGTTCTGAAAATCTGCTACCATGTCCCTTCGTTCAGAAATCTTTGAAGAACCATCCAATCTCATGTAGGTATGTTTCCTATAAACCATGTACTCCTGCAAAGAACACACAGGAAAAAAATGTATTTGGTCTTGAAACTGTTCAGTCCTGATTCTTCCAGAAAAAAAAAACAAACTAACAATAAAAGCAGAATTGCTACTTAAAAAAAATTATTAAAAAATCCCTAAATGTTATCAACAAATATCCTATAAGCAATCTTATATAAGCAATACTACAAAATAATACAAATTCAGAAATTAAAGCTACTCAAAACCTTACATCAGTTTTTGCATTTTGTATAAGAGCTAAATGACGGTGTCAGTTCAGAGTTGGGGATGCATTTGCTGCACTGCAGACCATGTTACGATACGTGCCCTTTTCCTATAAATAAACAGGTAAATAAAATCACTAAAATACCATTTTTGCTTTCACAAAGTCTAAATTTTTACTAAATCCTGAGCTTTCACTGTATAAGGAAATCCTAATAAACCAAGCGTTATCTGCTCGCCTTCAATTTCAAACCATCTGAGTAGTGGTTTGAAGGACGCGGTACGGCACACTAATGTCTGTCCACCCTTTCTCTCACTAGTGAAGAGCTTGTGAATCTCACTGCGCACAAGAACACTTTGAACATCACGTTGGTGTGTCAGCCCACAGCTCAGGCCAAGCAGCAGAACTGAAACCACAGCCTGGAGCACAAATCAAATGGCATCAACCAGGAGCGCTGCAGGCACAGGCTTTTTCCAGTGAGAGACATTTCTCATGCTCTAAGGTACTCGGCATTTTCTGGTACCTGTGCGACTATCAATAAAATCTAAATTACATAGAAAGCTCTTCAGGTTATACAGATATCCATAGAGTTTCTCTGGAAAAGATACCCTCTGATATTTTAACAATGTGATCCTTGGCTGACAAGATGCAACTCCTACTGGTTGCATTCATTACGTTTAACCCTACTGGTGTGTGTGTCTTTTTGAGATGCTGTGACTGCAAACGAAGACAAAAAGGAAACAGATGGTGCTTTAGCAGCAAGAAGAACTATTGGATTCATCTTGCTCCAAGCTGCAGCGTTCAGCAGATACAGAACTGATGTGCTGTGAGAAGACAAGACAGTGCTTGCACCCTAATGAACCTTCTGACAGTACCATGCTCAGTTCTCCTTTTCACCTATCCTTCAGGGCTCCTCCTCCTTCTTTGTTCTGCTTCACTACTGCAGAAAAGGTGAAAGAGCTGCCATACTATAAGGAACCTGGGAAAAAGACTGCTGTACTGGAAAGAAGCATCAATGTATGGCAGATGAAAGAGAAAATTAGGTAAATAAATAAAATAAACAGTGTGGAAATAGCTGAAGTCACACTTGGTCCACCTCTAAAATAGAGCTCCTGGCTAGTATGATTTCTGGAGTACAACAATGTAAGTTTAAAGCAGAGAACAGCAACTTCGCCACACAGACACTCAAGCCCTAATTTACTACAGATTTATTCCATTTTTATGACAAGCTTCTGTGGCCAAATAGAACTAGAGAGACACAGTTGTCAATTAGGCACTACACAACCTTTTCTCCAGATCTGATTGATTCTATTATCACAAGGGCCTTTTCCTTCCATTTCTTCATTACTGTCTTTGTCTGCCTTTACGATGATTCAACCTTTCAACATCTTGATTTAGTCTTCCCTCATCTCACTATTAACCATTTCTTCATTACTGTCTTCTAAACAAACTTCAGCACAAATAGAAAACAACTTCTTTCATTCCATCAGGTGCATTTACCCTTATCCCAGACCTCAGACACTTCCACTAAGGCACAAATTACAAAAAGAATAAGCTATTCTTTACCTGTGATATTGTCAATCATGGGTTTCCCTCGCACCCCCACCCCACAAACTAGCTCAGCACATTAGCCTTCAGCTGCTCATCTATTCAACACTCCACTTAACAGGTTCTGGTTGCCTCCATCCACCTTCCTTTGATCAAGAAGGCTACTTCACGGTAGTGTGAGAGTGCTCATGCGAAAAATCCTTTTTTGCTAACTGTTTTTATCCAGTATTTTTCCAAATATTAACTGTACACTTTCAATTCAGAAAAAAAAAAAGAAAAAGATGGGGTTTATAACTTTGTAAACAGTGTGTTTTGTGCTCTCTACCCTGCATAGATTAGGTTAGCAAGATGTCGCAGCAGTTACACCAACACAGTCAAAATACTGTTAAAAGAAATAGGACATCTTACGTTCTTTCGTATTCAAGTAGGCAGGAGATGTATTTTGGTATCTCAGGTCAGCGAAAAAAAAAAAATAATCTACTGCTACACAGCTTTTGCACATATTTTCTTACAAACTGAGTCCTTGCTTGATCTCCAGCTTGCTTAACTCCAGCTTCTGTTACATGGGTGGGGAGAAGGAAAAACAGAGGACTTGGTAGGTGGCTTATTTGGGTAATAAAACCCAGTAAGTGGAGCTGAGCATTTAAGAGGTGGAATAGCAAAATGGCATGCCCCCAAGCCTTTAGCATGGAATGCTAACAGAAAAGACAGAAGCATTAAATACTCAGCTTTATGAGCTTCATGGTGTAATGCAGGGTGTCAACAAACCTGCACCATGTCCAACATTTGCCAAAAAAGAGGCATAGGAAGCAATGCTGGGCGAACAGCCAAAACACAGAATTGCAACCATGCAAGTTCTGTTTTTCCTCACAGCAGCAAAAACAAAATTCAGCCTGTGATTTGTTATTGAACTATTAACTGCTGACCTTAAAATGCACTCCTGCTCATACAAGACTCATGACTTAGGCAGCTACTGATTCGGGTTTCTTATTTTTTATCTTCATTTTATATGGAGAAGACAGTATTCCATATCAAACATGGCCTGAGGAAGCCCATGTACACCTAGGACTAATGGTTGAAGGATCTGGATGCTTTAGCAGTACTGAAATTATACTGCCAAATGCAAGTGTTTTCCCACCTACTATTTATTCATAATCAGAAAACTTTACCAGGATTGCTTCTTTGAAACTAACATACATTAACTCCTACTTTCTTACTCAGAATTAGGTAGTCGTAGAAGTTACCATTACTAATCCTTCACTGATAAGGCAGAGAGACACTGTGATACAGAATATTCCTTTTTTTCAGATCCAGCCAAAACCTTAAGATTTGTTGTCTTCAACAGAAGCCCAGAAAAATAAAAGTATTTCTTTCTAAGCATTAGGAAATGAAATTAACAGTTGTCCTGCTAACATCTCTTTAGACTAGCTCTCTGGTGGCATGGTTGCTAATCAAATACTGTTTTGTTGGGGGTTTTTTCTTCTGAGGCAGGCAGACTGTATTTAAATAACATGTAATTACTTAATTCCTAATTTCTTTTCATATATGCCAGAGAACATCTTTTTATTTATGTCCACCAAACTTCTGCACAGGAATAAGATGACAGAGGGAAACAGTAAAGATCTGTGAAATTACAAGCAACATAAACAATGTAAAATTAATCACTGTTCTGCCTCTTCCTTCCAATAAAAAGACATATGGGCATCAAATGAATACAGAAGGAAGCAGTTCAAAACCAGCAGAAGAGGACAATTAAGCCATGCAACCCCTTGCCACAGGGCAGCGCAAACGATAAAAATTTACAGACTCAAGATACAACTGAACAATTTCTTGGAAGAAGAATCCATTTAGGCTGAGTGAATACACAGAAGGCGTATCTGGTTCAGAAAGCCCTTGAGCTGCAAACTGCTGGTCACGGAGAGACTAATTGTGAAGTATCACTATTCTTGTACATTTTCCCCATACCATCTGCTGTTGTACACTGGTGGAATAGAAACACTAGGCTGGACCTTAGGCATAAGCCTTAGTCCTCAGCACAGGGAGGACCTGTTGTAAAGGGTCCAGAGGAGGCCATGAAGATGATCAGAGGGCTGGAGCACCTCTCTTATGAAGACAGGCTGAGAGACCTGGGGTTGTTCAGCCTGGAGAAGAGAAGGCTCTGGGGAAACCTTATAGAAGCCTTCCAGTACCTAAAGGGGGCTACAGGAGAGATGGGGAGGGACTGAGCGATAGGAATTTTAAACTGAAAGAGGGGAGATTTAGATTAGATATTAGGAAGAAATTATTTCCTGTGAGGGTGGTGAGACACTGGAACAGGTTGCCCAGAGAAGCTGTGGGTGCCCCATCCCTGGAGGTGTTCAGGCTGGATGGGGCTTTGAGCAACCTGGTCTGGTGGGAGGTGTCCCTGCCCAGGGCAGAGGGGTTGAATCTCAACAATCTTTAGGGTCCCTTCTAACTCTGACCATTCTATGATTATAAGATTCTATGATTCTATAACTTTGTATGGCAGCTCTTATATTCTCATATCAGTGCATTTACTAGGCATCCTTCCGTATAATTTTACATTAGGTTTGCTGCATCCAAATTACAGTATTTTCTCCAAAACACCATTGCTAAATCTGCATCTTCAGAATTTGTCTTCTGTAGGCTATAGCTCTCCTACCTCAAGTAAGTCAATCATCCGTGTCATCTGGGAGTAGATGAGAACTCTGTGTCCTTGAGATTTCAGCCGTGTCAACAGAAGATCAAGAGCATGAAGTTTTCCACTGTCAGTGATCAGACTCTCTTTGTCTAAAAAGAAATGGAAGAAAAGCAGGTAACTAATAAAGCCAAAACAGCTACATGGAACAAGTTAACTTCTAAGTTTTCCTAGCACTTCACTGCATTGTAGTTCCTAAAGTAACAAGTTGTGATGGAAGGAACTGCAACATCCCTGACACTTACAATCACACTGCTAACAATAACTTTTGGTTGCTGGACAGGAGCATATGAATATACCCACTTGGCAAAATCTCATCACAGATTGATCTCCTCATGAGTATGGACTCAATCCTATTTTGGACAGTTGTTTCCCTCATCTAAGGATTCATTCTGACCAGATCAACAACCACAACACACCTTGATAGATGAAGTTTTCCTCCAAACGTTAAAATGCTGTCCTTTGGACGTTTGCTGGTACCTGCTGCTGAGCTTTAGACTTACCCTCCACGGATCTAGTTTCAAAATCAAACTCCTCACCAACAGTGAGGAACAGTTTTCTAGGTCACTGTAAAATAACAGCCCCTTCACAGCATTGCCCTAAACTTTTTTTTTTGCTTTTTCTTCCCTGCGCTCCGCTTTTTGGGTTGGGTTTTTTTGGTGTTGTTTTAAGAAATGTTTCCAGATTGCAATCTTTTAAGTCACTTCAGATTTTATACTTCATGTCCTCTCTATTTCAGCATTGCTATGAAGTATTTTTCAGGAAGGAGATCTTCCTGTTTGTACATTCTGTACATAAACTTCGGTAAACAATACATGACTGTTGAAAGAGGATGAAGAGAAATTTTCTTCCAAAAAAATTATCTGTTGGAAAGGCCACTGATGATTCTTTATTCTTTGGGATGTCTGAATTTAGGTTTACAGCCAAAACGGAAAGTTGACAACTGCAGATGGTGCAGGCTAGTACAGAACCCAAATATTTTCAACATGTCTAGCAGGTAACATTTCTGCACACTTCACATTGCACAGAATGAATTAACTCATGGCCTGAAAAAAACTCCAGTTTTCTGTAAGGCAGCTAACTGTCTTGCACAACACCCCTCTTTCAAAAATGTCCTTCAGCTTAAATATAAATAATGGACTTGATGCTGGAACTAGTGGGATCTACATTAGGACATCAGAAGATGCAGTCAACAACTCTGCCTTCTGAAATTCAAAAAATAGCGAGTTGTCAATATTGCTTATTAATTGGTTTATTTGCATTATCAGCCAGTGCTGTGAGTGCTCTCTCCTTTGGTAACTTTAGAGTGGTGCTCCTGCAATTCACAAGATAAGAAACCAAGGCAAGAGAGCTCTGCTCTTTCTTGCTTGTCTGCCTATCTAGTCACTGCTTTACCCCAGTTTGCTCTCCCTTCTGATGGTGATCTTGTTGCTTTGCCAGGAACAAGGACCACATTGTTGCTTGAACCATTAGCAACTACCTGGGGCAATCCCTCAACTAGAGAGCTAAGCCAAGGAAATACTGCAAGGAAAACTCAAGACCACAGCACAGGATGGCATTTGTTCTAAGTGCAACATAACATATAATGATACATTCACCTCTAGAACAGAACTTGATTACACACAAATAGTTAATAGTTTCATGCATTCTAAGGAAAACTAATTGAATTTAGGCAATTAAGTAAAAATGAAAATGACTTACGGTTATCTGGTTTTAAAATACATCTATGCGAGTCAAAAACTCTGCACAGTAGGAATGTTTACTCTTTATTAAAAAATGTTATTCTTTCTTTTAAATCCATACAACCATGACATTCTGCTTTTACTCTAATTGGTCAGCTTGCTATTTCAGACTGAATTAAATTGAGTGAAGCAACATGGAAAGTCTAGATATACATAACAAACTAATATGATTATTAACCAAAAGCCATCTGACTGGAAGGAAACTGAGAGAACAAACAGGGTCTGTTCAAAAGTCAGTCTCAGCTGGCTCAGATTAACATATTAGAAAGTTTCCAAAAGCAAAATGCTACTGATTTTCTCACACAGGCATGAATAGGTAGAATTAAGTTTTGGTGACTGGAAATGATGCATGTCCTTTGCTGTTGGCTACTTACATCTCCATTGTGTAAGTTACTATTTTTAAATAGCAATAAAATGTAAATTACAAGTAAAGAACTTATTTGCAGATGGTGTTACAGTCTGAAAAGTTAGCAACTTGCTAACAGTTCATCATTTGTCCAATATCTCAGCATCAGAGCAGACTGCACTGGAGAGAAAGTTTTGGGTTTTGGTTTTTTGTTGCCTTTATTTTTTTTTTTTTTTGGAAAGCAGAACAGAACTAACAAAAGAAGATTTATCACCTCTAGAAGAAAAAAAACATTTCACTTTAACATGGCATCTTTAAGCCTGCTATCTTGATACCACTGTGTTTTCCAAGACCAAATATTTTTGCATGCAAAAAGTCTGCCACCTAGTGATTCAAAGGACATGCTCTGCAAAGTGGTAACAGAAAACGTTCTTCTTTATTGATGCCATCTTCAGAAAACACAGCTTTTTCTAAAAAAAAGTATCTTCCACCTCTAGTTTCTCTCACTTCTATTTCTCATTCCCTTTTTCCTTGGGGAAGAAGGCTCCTTCTTCAAATCAGATTTTCAAAATTAAAAATGGAAAATGTAGAACTGCAAGTTATCAGTGAAAACTTCCAATGTCAATATCTTCTGATAAATTTTTTTAAGTTTTTTTTTGTTTTGTTTTGTTTGTTTGTTTTTTAATAGCATCAAAGAAACTTTTAACATTATAAGCTAGTCAGGTGACAGAGACCCTGGACTGCATATCAAAGAACTCTCCCCAAGATGCAATTTTTGGGTTCTTTAGCACTGTATGAAACGAAGAAGAAAACAGAACCAGACCAAAAAGAAAGTGACCGTAAAATCATATTATATGGCTTTCAGTCTGAAAAAAAGTTCCTTGCCTCCAGCCATGCGGGGTATGGACATAAATTATCTACAAGGGATACAGTGGGATCCTATGGCCTGGGAAGAAGAGTTACAAATGGTTATGACTCAAAATAACCCCAGTCAGGAGCTCCGGCAGATGACTGTAGCTGAGCTCACCACTCTCTGGAGAATGAGAAAAAGTGCCTCTGGACATGCAAAAAGCAGAGGAAAGAGAGATAAAGTCTGGGTTCCAGTTGACACCCCTGGTTCCCCTCCCGACAGTCTGCACGGCACAATGGGGTCAGTGAGGAGCTAGTTGGCTCTCACAGTAAACAGCCAGTGAGGCCGGTGCTTTTTATCGATGCTAAAAGGACTCAGACACTTCCTGCCATTTAATCCAGGACCATTTTTCTTTCAAAGAACAGGAAAAGCCTCAAGAGATTCCCACAGTGATCGCAGCTGAGCCTGCTGCCAGGGTACTGGGAATGACGAATCTGGGAGAGGATAGATCAGGGTTAGAAGAGAGAGGTATCCCCTTTTCTTCTTGTCCCCTATTTACCACAAACCTTCACACCTACCGGTCCACTGGACTCTTGCTAGACCTCAGCCCTGTACATGCTTCTTCAGCACTTTCTGCAAAGCACTATGCCTGCTCCTGCACCTATAATCACAGTTGTCCACTTGTGGTACGTGACCTCTCCTCTTCAAAGAAGTTTAGGTTTGAATGCTACCTTACAACTAATTAAAATACAGCTGTACAAAACTACTTCTTAAAAAAAATTACTTTTAGCTTCAAGACCTCCTAAATTAAGCCAGCTTCACATAAGACACTCATCCCAAACACCTTCTCAAGCTCTCAAGCAAATTCTTTGTTGTGCTTTGACAACAATTTGCCAAACCTTGCACCTATTCACGCACTCCTGTAAGGTTCTTGAACCCCATCGTTACTCCTCTACAAATTTTTGCTGATGAGTCAGCTTAAGTCATTGGCTTAAAACAGAAGTCTTTTCAAGAGAATGCAGGCCCCTCTCTATTCCACATTGGCTACTTTTCTTCATTTCTCTATCTATGCCTTCTACTTGAATTCCCTTCACTATTTCCCTCCTTTCTGCTACAGCAATTCATTTTGTTTTCAAAAAAATGATACACAATTCAATGAATTCCTGAAGAAACTATAAAATCATCAAGTATCATTGAACATTAATCTAGTGCAAGCTCCTGAAAAATAGTTTCTCTGTTCCATAAGTAAACATGCATGTGCTTCATATGACTCCAAGTACTTATGAGGTACGTTCTTAAACTGGACTGTAGCAAGCAAAAGGCCGTTTTCCTTTTACTGTACTAACTTCCCCTGCCAAACATCCTTGACCCAAAAGGGTCTGGGAATAACTTAGCATCTGGCAGTGTAAGCTGTTTTTCCTCTTGGCTATCTCTCAGATCTCTAGTACTTTCTGCAGAACTCTGCTCTCTCCTCAAGACCATCTTCCAACAGCTAGACTGCGCCTGGCCCCCAAAAGCCACAGCAGTATCGGCAATGAAATTCTAGCAAATCTTGGATTATGTTAGTCTAATTCTAGGAAAAAATGAAGCACATTTATTTTACTAGTACACTGGTACCTTTTTCCCACTTTACCAGGAAATATGAATAAGTCTTCTTTATTCCAACTGAAACTCACTCAGCAAATCCCTCGTGCCTTGTTTTCCAGGCCAATTTCCTCTAAACTTGGTTCCCAAACCTGTGCTTCTCATAGTAGACCGCTACACGTAAAGTTTATCCTTTCACTAGGAAAACCAACAAAAGATCTCTTACGTCAATACAAAGGTCTTCCAACACACTAAGAGGCCATGTATGACTGCTACTTGTCCTGGAATCTTTACATCTCCAACCTCAAAATAGTATCTGTTTGTGAGAGTAAACTGTGCTTTAGTAAGCAGATCCATCTTTTTACAGTCATTTGGAGGGCAGACGTCCTAAAAGAGGTTTGTAAGCATTAGAAAAGTTTGTATTAGACTTGTTTGGCATCCATCAACAGCTTTACTCCAGAGAGAGGATGAGAAATCAAAGTATTTTAAGATACCAGGGTTAACTTTCCCTCAGGAGGAAGAACCACTAATCACCCCTGCTCCCTCAAAAACCAAGCATAATTATTAGTGAAGAGTAGATGTCCTTATTTATCTCATCGTTCCATGACAACCTCCAAACTTACCTGGTATCCTGATAAAAGACCAGCCGTTCTGAGGCCTGATCCCTAACAGCCCTCCTGGATACTCTGGGAAGAACTGGGAGCATTGCTTCAGCCACTCAGCTGCCAGCTCGGGGGCTCCATGGAGCACACACTGCTTTGCTTGGAGACTTCCTCCTTCCCTTAGTGCCCTGCGCTCGTATTCTGCGCTTCGGTCATTGCAGTAGAACTCCAGCGGCACAGCTGTTACCTACAAGTAAAATATTTAATCATCAATGCTCTCGTTCAGACTTCCCCTCATTCCCAAATCCACAGTTCAGCTACCTTCAAATTTTATAAGTCAAATCATTACTGACACGCGCTGATTGAGAACAATCTTAAGACTTGGTTTAAAATAAGCAAATAGGCAACATCTGCCCACACCACACAAAGGTCCTACGAGCGTCAGGCATGGACTACTTGCCTTCTGATAAACAAGGCCTTGTGCCAATTGCTACATAACCGACAGCAGAGCTCAGAGTAGAAGAATAATATCCCTGCTGCACCTCTCACTTTGCCTGGATTTCTTTTTTTAAATTATATTTTATTTTTACCCTTCACAATCAAGTCTTTACCCAGCAGAGATGAGATTTCCATATCATCCTTAACAGAAATTCATGTGATGATTTAAAATTAGGAAGACACATAAATTAGAAAGGAAAAAAAAATGAACAGGAAAACTGCCCTGTTCTGGAACAACATATTTCTCAGCCTTGACATACGATTTGAACAGAAACAGTGCAAATGAGCACAGGGTGACCTTTTTCTTCTGGTTGTTCTGTGAATCCCTTGCCCTATTACCTGCCTCAGTACATACAAACCAGCTGGACAAACCAGCGTTGCAAACACAGGAACTCTGATTTCACACTACGTGAGCTATTCTGAAATGGCTCCATCACTTTAACTCCCCCTGCTATGCTCCATCCACCCAAACCCGGACAGAGGGTGGAAGGTCCATGTTAGCCAAAGAGGTATATGCCCAATGGCAAGATCCTCGAGTAAAGAGTTCATTCCAGCAGACAAGACTGTCCTTCATACAATCTGTAGCTATCTCCTACCTCTTCTTTGCCAGGGTTAAGGCACAACTTCAGGATATTGAGGTAATAAAAACCAAGTGCAATCAAGCCATGATACAGCCAGGACAGCCCACTCTGCTGGGTCTGTCTTATTGTCTTATGACACTTCACCAAGAGTTAAACTGCACGATCCAAAGTAACTACAAGAATTGCAACACTTTCACTCAAATAGAAATACATAACAATTCACTATGTAGCACAAGAATCTTTCCAATAAAAATGCACACAGCCAACTTCTTCCCCCTGTCTTTTCTGAATATAAATGTCGTTTGGGCCAATGTTTTGGGATAAGCATTTACAAAAGCTATTTATAACCCAATTTACGAAAGAAAGTTAGTAGAAACTTTCACATACTATCAAGAGATAACATATTGGTAAACTCACTTATAAATGAAACTAAAAGTTAATATTAGATGAGTAACCCTGCATCATGAACTTTAAACAGAGAAAAGCTATGCATTTGCAGTGTTTCTTGGTTTCTTCACCCCTATAGGAAACAAACAAATCACTACTTTAGCAGTCATTGCTGTTTTTATTTCAGAACTACAATTAAAAAAAGATCATCCACATAGATTCATGTAAGTTTGTAAGTTAAAAACATTGTCATGAATCCTAACACCGTGCAAAATGAACACATTGCCTAGGGGACTATGAAAAGCAGTGTAACAAATGAGAAAGAACACAGAAGAAATCAAACTTGTGAAAGTTTTCACATTTTAAAAAAGGAGACAGAGCTGCATAGGAAAAAACAGTCTGCGAATCTGTAGGGTTTGATGGTGAACAGCAAGCAGCTGAATTTCTGGAGAATCGAGAAAGGGTGGGGGTTTGATATTGGGACAATTGAAACACTTTAAACTCAGTGAAAAAACTATCTTTCTATCGCAGCCAAAAAGCTTTAACTTAACTTGAAGGAGGATAAATTTTTTGTTCCAGCTTACTCTAGCATGACATAATTAACTGCTACATATTGAGAACATACTTAACACTGTATCATGCAAATGAAAATATTTTAATGGATCAACTAAATGATAAACAATAAAATAGTTTAAATATCAACCCTTTTACATACCATGCTTTAGAACTATTAGATGAAGGGAGCAATGCATACCTCAGGACAGACTGCCTGGTACCTTAGGTGCTGCCTGCTCCTCTCTGAACATTTACCAGCTACCTCAAAGTAAAAGGTACCAAGCAGGAGTGGATCACAGGCTTCCACCAAGAATATCAAGTTTTACAGGAGCTCTTCTCGTGGGAAGAAATTCATCTCACAAACAAAGACTTTTTTTGCAAGGCCAAATCAATTGTTTGAACAGATTCATAAGCACTATTATAGTACATATCAAAATAAAATCAAAAAAGCAATCTTAGCAATAATGGTAAAGCTATTGTTTTGCAAGACGCCAGGAGGTATTTTTAAACCAGATTGGTTTATGGGTCTATGCACACAGTCACATGAAACACTACAAATTCAAAGGGACTGTGTTAAGCAAGACTTTGTATACATTCCCACTCCTTAGTAGATAACTGTTAGAGCTGATGCTGTCTTGTACTGCCATCTGCAGTCAGAGCATAGGACTGGCTTTTGTGGGAGAGGGCAAAAAACTCTCCTAATTCAAGTCTTCTTGCCTGAAAACTGACAGACACCACAACAACAGTACAGACTTAGTAGTTTATTTTAAAGGACACTATTAGCCATCACATTTCAGTTCATATTTCTACACTGGATACACTGGAACAAATACTCTCTCCAGCACAACCAACCTGTCATATTTATTTCCAGGACACCTAGGACCATCAGCCACTACACACAAAACAGAGCAGATAAATTTCTGACACAGAAAAGAGGCTTATCTACTGAAATCAATATGGAGAATTGAAAACACTAGGATTTTTAAAAGAAAAATAAAGTCACATCATAAAATTCCACAAGCTACATTTCAGTAATACCTCATCTAAAGGAAGTGCTCGTAGGAGACAAACTTTGTGTGCACCTCAGTGCAATTTCTACATTAACAAGAACAAATCTTCCCCTGTAGGAAGTACACCCGTGTAACACTGACATCTGAGGACAAAGGCTATCTTTAGTGTCAGCTCCATACTTTTTAAAAATGCATACACATACTTCTAGGGTAGAAGCCTGCATCTTCTACATGGCCTTACAAGAAAAAACAACACATTTCTGAAACAGATCAAAAAATTCTTCTATTCAAGCTCTTCCTTTTTTGTCACGGCACAGCTTTTTTAGGATTTTTTCCCCAGGTTTTTCTTTTGTGGTTTTACTCATAACAAAAGTTAGAGTAGTCCTTAGAAGTAAACCCTCCTATGTTGCCACATTCTTCTCAAACTGATTGAATGTAACAGTCCTGGTTCAGAGACGTATGCAAAAAATACAGCGATAGGAATATATGAATGCATTGCCACCTTAAATTCATTAACTTAGTTTAATTAGGGTAATTGTAAAATGCTTCCTGCATTTATCTCCATGCAAAGTTAACCTTTCAGATGTTGTGAGATGTGCAAAACCACTTCTCACCACAATACCTCTGACACACAGGGATCTATGAACTGCTAAACTAAACCAAACAATAGTACTCTAATGAGCTTCTTAATGAATACAAGATCCATACTCCAAGTTACTTTTTCTTTTTTTTTGTGATTGAGGACTGTCTACTCCAGAAAATTGCTTGCACAGAAAGAAAACTACAAACACTGAAGCCTCCCCTCACCACTACCCCCCGCAGCTGCTACATAAACATACGCTCCTATTTCTATCATTCGCTCCATTAACTTCCCAAAATTCATCACAGGTCAAACAACAACATAAGGCTATAGTTTCTGACAACATATGTGCTCTTTCTGCTGCTTCAGGTCTTCTACCCTCCTGCCAAAAGTTTCTAACAAGCGTAAAATCAAGTCTTTGTATTCCTAGAAACAAAAAGCCATGCCTCCACTTAATCATTTTTATACACCAGCCAAGCCAAAACAAGCAACTTGTGTTCACTAGAATGTATGTTAGATATGATCTCTCCGCAGCTTTCCTTTCCCTTCCTATGTAGCCTTCTGAGCCCTTCTCCTCCATTCCTAATGTACAGGAAGTATTCAACATATTTATCTGCAATGCAGGTTCCAGTACAAAGGGTGACAAAGGATGAAATAGAATCAAAGGAATCTGAAGAAGTGTTTTTCACAATTTACTCTCAGAATAACTGCATGTTCTCGAACCAGGTAAATGTGTTCTGACAGGGAGGCAATGTGTGACTTCGAGAATTCAGTTGGATCCCTGGCCCCTAGAGCTGCAGGCACAGACAAATTCAGCTCAAGGAGCAGCTCGTTGGTGATAAGCAGAGTCTTACTTGCCATCCTCCCTTCTCCAGATCTCTCATAAGAGTTTCAGTCTTCTTGCCTGAAAACTGACAGACACCACAACAACAGTACAGACTTAGTAGTTTATTTTAAAGGACACTATTAGCCATCACATTTCAGTTCATATTTCTACACTGGATACACTGGAACAAATACTCTCTCCAGCACAACCAACCTGTCATATTTATTTCCAGGACACCTAGGACCATCAGCCACTACACACAAAACAGAGCAGATAAATTTCTGACACAGAAAAGAGGCTTATCTACTGAAATCAATATGGAGAATTGAAAACACTAGGATTTTTAAAAGAAAAATAAAGTCACATCATAAAATTCCACAAGCTACATTTCAGTAATACCTCATCTAAAGGAAGTGCTCGTAGGAGACAAACTTTGTGTGCACCTCAGTGCAATTTCTACATTAACAAGAACAAATCTTCCCCTGTAGGAAGTACACCCATGTAACACTGACATCTGAGGATAAAGGCTATCTTTAGTGTCAGCTCCATACTTTTTAAAAATGCATACACATACTTCTAGGGTAGAAGCCTGCATCTTCTACATGGCCTTACAAGAAAAAACAACACATTTCTGAAACAGATCAAAAAATTCTTCTATTCAAGCTCTTCCTTTTTTGTCACGGCACAGCTTTTTTAGGATTTTTTCCCCAGGTTTTTCTTTTGTGGTTTTACTCATAACAAAAGTTAGAGTAGTCCTTAGAAGTAAACCCTCCTATGTTGCCACATTCTTCTCAAACTGATTGAATGTAACAGTCCTGGTTCAGAGACGTATGCAAAAAATACAGCGATAGGAATATATGAATGCATTGCCACCTTAAATTCATTAACTTAGTTTAATTAGGGTAATTGTAAAATGCTTCCTGCATTTATCTCCATGCAAAGTTAACCTTTCAGATGTTGTGAGATGTGCAAAACCACTTCTCACCACAATACCTCTGACACACAGGGATCTATGAACTGCTAAACTAAACCAAACAATAGTACTCTAAACTGAATTAATGAGCTTCTTAATGAATACAAGATCCATACTCCAAGTTACTTTTTCTTTTTTTTTGTGATTGAGGACTGTCTACTCCAGAAAATTGCTTGCACAGAAAGAAAACTACAAACACTGAAGCCTCCCCTCACCACTACCCCCCGCAGCTGCTACATAAACATACGCTCCTATTTCTATCATTCGCTCCATTAACTTCCCAAAATTCATCACAGGTCAAACAACAACAGAAGGCTATAGTTTCTGACAACATATGTGCTCTTTCTGCTGCTTCAGGTCTTCTACCCTCCTGCCAAAAGTTTCTAACAAGCGTAAAATCAAGTCTTTGTATTCCTAGAAACAAAAAGCCATGCCTCCACTTAATCATTTTTATACACCAGCCAAGCCAAAACAAGCAACTTGTGTTCACTAGAATGTATGTTAGATATGATCTCTCCGCAGCTTTCCTTTCCCTTCCTATGTAGCCTTCTGAGCCCTTCTCCTCCATTCCTAATGTACAGGAAGTATTCAACATATTTATCTGCAATGCAGGTTCCAGTACAAAGGGTGACAAAGGATGAAATAGAATCAAAGGAATCTGAAGAAGTGTTTTTCACAATTTACTCTCAGAATAACTGCATGTTCTCGAACCAGGTAAATGTGTTCTGACAGGGAGGCAATGTGTGACTTCGAGAATTCAGTTGGATCCCTGGCCCCTAGAGCTGCAGGCACAGACAAATTCAGCTCAAGGAGCAGCTCGTTGGTGATAAGCAGAGTCTTACTTGCCATCCTCCCTTCTCCAGATGCCAATGTATAATTGCACATGCAGTCCCATTTGATCAAGCCAGCAGCAATAACATTAACTAAAGAATATAGCATCTGGATAGCCTGCTAATATAAATATATTTTGTCCAGCTTTGTCATGATCCAACAACATGGAATGAAAACAACAGCCATGGATTTAGGAAGGTCTCGTGTCAGCCCAGTAGACTTCAGATAAAGTAACTTCAAAATTCAGTTAATAGTGGATGGACAATCCCAAGTGGTACCACTTAATATCCAAAAGATTTAGAAAATACCAACTTGAGTAATCCTTATATATTGCAATCTGGTGTTTCCTTTTTGGAGCACAAACTGACCCAAAGACAGAAAACGAACCTCCTTTTCAAAAATGCTTTGCTCCTCAGCCCCTCTTTGTCATCAGAGTTGACCAAACACTCAACCCATTCTGTTCATACCACACCTACATCTCCCGCTTAGATTACTGGGGAATAATCTACTTGACAATCTCTTCTATAATTTTACTGCTTTTGGGATTAGGAGAGAAAGTGAAACCTGCATATCTCAGAACAACTCCTGGTGGGTGCATCTTACAATTTTCCTTTTCCCTTCAGTACACATTACAGTCACTTCCCCTATGAAAAAAATCCCGCTATTGAATACAGTAGCAAAAGGATATCCTCACAACAGTTCTACCCAACCAGAAGAAACTAATAGATCATCCTGTTCCTAAGACATAATTCAGACAAGATTTAAAACACAATAGAAAATACATAATTTACAACTTAACTTGGACTTACCCGTGGGCTAGCCATGCACAGGAAGGACGGCAGCTCAGTCACCTGGCAGCACCGTACACATGAGGTAGCTGATCTCCTTCGGTGTATGACATGATCTGTATAGCCAGTAACTGCTTTACAGTGGCTACTGAACACAAGGTTCTGAAAACAAAATTAAAATTAAGAAGTTACCATGTCTAAGAAGAAAAACTCCTCTTAAATCTTGTAACCACCCGTGAGATAGACAGTCAAAGGACATTATCACCAAATATTTCTCTTTGAAAAAGGAAACTCTACATATCTTCTGCAGTGACCGCATACACGATCTTTGTGGAATTATCAGACCATTCAAATGGTTTGAAATCAGAATAGCTTGTATCCATACTTGCCTTTATGCTCAGTTAGAACCAGAAAGAAATTCTTCCTTCTTTGAACTTTTTGACCTTAGCTTTTATAAAGAAGGGAGTACAGGAATATTCTAGGAGGTCTTGACCATCAAACTGTTTTCTAACTACTCCTTTATCTATCTTGAAGCATGGGTAAAATGAAATTTTGCAGAGAAAAAAAATTAAGACTCTAAATGTGACTGGACTGGTATCTTTGGACTTTCATCTTTCCCAACCTTTTCTCCTTTCCTGTGCAAAATGGCTCTGAAAGTTATCCTGCAGATTTCCAAGGTGCCATGTGTAAAACCTGGAATTCGCCACAAGTGTATTGATGTCCATTTGACACAGAAAAATATATTGACCCAAAATGGGGGGGCACACTGAAATGACACTGCAGTTTAAAGAAAGGAGAGCTGTCTGAAGACGCTCAACTTTACACAGAAAAAGAACAGAAAAAATTTTATTTTCTTGCATCAGTTATTATACTTCCTTTTCTATTGTAAATATCTCCATCAAACAAGAAAATAAACTGCTTATAGACTACGCCGTTTTTGCTGCTTAGTTTTTACTCTGAGTCTTCTATATTCATAACAACCAATTGTTATATATTGTTATGTATATTTGTTTCCTATAGCATACAGAGCATTATTCTGTATACTACAGGAATCATGCAACAAAAAAGCAACATGAAGAAGTATATCTCTCACTGCCACAGGATGACAGGATGTGCTGCCCTGACAATTCTAGTTCACTTAAGTAAAATGTAAACAGCATCTAAAGCTTTGGCATTGTTCTGCTCCGGTTCCTAAAGCGCCAAAATTAACTGCATGCTACTTTTATTCTGCATAGCCTCCCCATTTTCTAAAATCCCAGTGTTTGAAATTCTAAGCATCCGGGCACATAACAGAAGCAGACACCTTTTATACCATCGTGTCATACACTGGGCATATGCACTCCTACATATGTCAGAAAAAAGCTAGAACACATCCAGAGCAATAGTCTTATCATGGTTCATGCATTCTGGGCCCTTTCTGGTTCCAGATGTAAATGCACTGCACAAGATGCAGATGGCTAACCCATACAATTTGGAATGTGCTGACAAGGGAAAAAAACAGTCTTATTCTACATACGTGCCAACACCACCTCAGAAATACAATCAGTCAGTCCCAGCATGTAAGTGGGTCTTGCAGCTGCTACCAGAGCAACTCGTGGTCTGGAGCTGGCAAAAAGAAAGTTCATACTCTCTGACTGAACATCTGCTCCTCTATATAAAAGGTGAGAGCAGAAATAGCTGACAATAGCCTTTCACTGACACTCAGCAGGGCTAAACAAGCACAGGTCAAAGCTTGGGCCACAGTGGATAATGTGAAGTGATCCCAAAAACAGGCTCTTACTCAGCTGGCAATTCTTCCTCAGTAATGCTAGCTTAAGCAACAACTGCTTCACGTGTTCACTCCTGTCCCCGCAGAGCCCCTTCTTGCTGGCCTAGCTGCCTGCATTCATTAAGATGCTGATGAAGATGAAAATAAACCCTTGCCCCTCCACTCTGAGTTAGTTTTGTGATTTGTTTCACCACCTGGTAAAACAGCAGAGTGGGCAACGCAAGGCTGGGAGTACACAGCTGCGGACAACAGATAAGAACGCTGGATTATCCATCTGAGGACCAGAAATGGTGGTGGTTGGAAGTAACGAAAGGACAGCAAGGGTCAGCAGGGAAAAGTGACTTCCCTCTCAGCAACAGCAGGCTACCAGCAGGCTACACGACCACTTCAGCTCAAAGTCCCCGTCCTCCCCACCCCTGGCCCACATACTGGGGGTACAGCTGGTTTACAAGGAGAAATAAACATTGCACGCAGTCACAAGGGGTTTCCATTAAGTCTTACGACAGCAAGCACTGGCATACTGGTTGTGGCCTGGTCGTCAGAGGGGTTCGTTAACTTTATTTCCTAGAAAGTGAGAGTTCAAGAAATGGATAGAGAGGAAGCTAACATACTGTAATTCCAAACCTGTGCAAGCCTGTTACTTAACTCTCTTTTGGAAGCCAGTACTGACGATGGCTTTAGCCCAATTAGACATATCCATGAAGAAACACAAGGGAAAACTTCCAAGAAGGTATCCAAAAATAAAAGTATTATTTTTATATGTACACAGCGTTATAAGTAGTTCTGGTAGCTGGGCATTAATCTGGTTCTCAGCACCATGCTTCCTGTGTACAAATTACGGGCAGGTCACGTCAGAAACATCCCCCTCTGAATTCCTTGACTTAGGCAGCCATTAAGTATTCATGAGGAGAGCAGACACCAGAGATAAGAGGGACAGGGGAAACCAGCCTCCCGTCGGTCACACACACGGAACAGACCGGGTAAGGTGACAGAACTGAACACAGCCACGGCTCTGAAATGGATCGGGTACCTTAGAACAACAAAGCCAAGAGCTAAAGAGGAGGATTGTTAAAAAATAAGTATGTACACATCTACTGCAACCACGCAAGCCAAAGGAAGTGTTGAAAGTATTTCTGTATTGAAAGTGTTTCTGTATTGGAAGCAGAGCTGCATATAAATACATAAATACGTGTGATTGACGAAAGGCCTTTCTGTATTGGAAGCAGAGCTGCGTATAAATACATAAATACGTGTGATTGACGAAAAGCTGGACGTGAGCTGGCAATGCGTGCTGGCAGCCCAGAAAGCCAACTGCACCCTGGGCTGCATCAAGAGAAGCGTGGTCAGCAGGTTGAGAGAGGTGATTTTGCCCCTCTACTCTGCCTTGGTGAGACCCCACCTGGAGTATGGTGTCCACCTCTTGTCCACCCTACATAAGAAAGGCATGGACATGTTGGAGTGAGTGCAGAGGAGGCTATGCAGATGATCAGATAGCTGGAACCCCTCTGCCGTCAGGACAGGCTGAGAGAGTTGGGGTTGCTCAGCCTGGAGAAGAGAATGCTCTGGGGAGACATTATTGTGGCCTTTTTGCAAGAAAGGCCCCATTTCAGTAGGGCCTGCAGCAATAGGACATGGGGTAACGGTTTTAAACTAGAAGACAGTGGATTCAGAGTAGAATAAGGAAGAAATTTTTTTAAATGAGGGTGGTGAAACACAGGAACAGGTTGCCCAGAAAGGTAACATTCAAGGTCAGGTTGGAAGGGTCAACCTGATCTAGGTGAAGATGTCCCTGCTCATTGCAGGGGGGTTGGACAAGATGATCTTTGGAGTTGCCTTCCAAGGCAAACTATTCTATGATTGCTACCAGCAACTTAAGCTCATTAACACTCTTGATTTTTTTAAAGGAAGAAAATTAAGAAAACAAAGGAGAGTGGGATTCACCTCAACAGATCAGATTTTATATTAATTCAAGTCAATGTATATACATACACACATTGTGGAGGTGCTGAGTAAGGGGAATGAAGAAACCTCACACTGCAAGGCATTTCTGTGTTCACATGAAAAAACTCTTACTATCTTTAGATAGATGTCACCTCAATTTCAGAAAGTTCTATTAAAAATAAATGTGTCTTCTTTTTTTGTCTACTGACTTATTTTCATAGTTTGTCTCATATCGGAAATGCTGATCTGAGCAGTTAAGAAAAGCCTTTCCAGATTTATACCATTTCCTTTTTCCTCTGTTTCTCCCCCTCCTCGCTCCCTACAAGTTACTATCTTATTAAGCCCTAGAAAAAGCCTTGGGAAATTTTACATTCAAAGTTTCTCAAATTTGGGTTAAGATAAAAGTGAATTCATTTTCACTCAGGATGATGATGCATGCTGCTAAAAGGCATGTGAAGAGCAGTTTGTTTTTCAACTTTCCCTTTGGTTTTGACATTTTCTTCTTTTTCAGATGTTCTATATGTAAGCTGTGCAAACAAAATTCTGCAAGACAGAGCTTGTTTTAAAGTGACTTTAGCTGGTAATTTGTCTAAGATGCAGGTTACAAAACAGTTCAAAAGAATCTGTCATAACTGTAGGGCTAAAATTCCTTTAGATTTTCTGAGGTTATCACAAATGCACTGTATTGCACACACTGATGAACTTTGCTCTTGAGCTTGTTGTTTTCTGTGTTAAAGGTACTAGTTACACCAGTCACTAGTTACATGCAGTCACAGGACTGGGACCCCCAGAGACGCAAGTAATGAATGACTTTCTCAAAGAACAGAAATTATTTGGAGAAATCAAATTACAGTTAAGTCTGGCCAGGTTGTGGTACGGGTGAGTCTGCAACCTAAACCTATATGTGAATATTCCATATCTCATATTTAATATTGATAATGTTAACTCACCTTTTGCTCTTTAAGAAAATATAATGACTTTCGTTTTAATACTTATACACACTAACCCAAAGGCTATGTAAAAATCTAGATTTTCTTTTTACATATGTAAAAATGCATGCTACCTTGTGTAAGTGCATACAACTTTTGCAACTTCTGACACTGTCCTCTACTCCTCAACTGTTAGGCTACAAAATTAATGGCTCCACCCAAGTTTTCCTCAACCATACCAAGGAGAGGACAGAGCTACAGTATCTACTTTCAGAGATAAGCATTTACAGTGTCAGTATACAAACCCTTTAATATCATCTTAAACAAAACTGAGTGCAAATCCACAGACACTTTAGCAAGCTAGACATGGAAACGCAGAATATTTAAACACCAGCACGGTCAGAGTTAACTGGCATACATCTCAGTTGGCTTGCTCTTTGTTTGATAACTAGGACTCATTTTGTTGGCTTTGCTGTTAACGCTGCAAAACATGACACCAAGCCCAAGGCTGGTTTCCTACTGCTTCTGCGTCTTCGATTTCAACTTCCTCTACACGCTATTCAATTGAATTCTGGCTATCTCCTTTCCCCTTCCACACTCATGAACAGAAGTAATATTCCCTAGAGAAATTTGGCACAATCTCACTGTTTTAGAAAAGATTTTTGTACTGCATATCTGCTAACTGCCCTAAGATGCTTTCTTGACTTTACGCTAGCACTTTTGTGAACTTATTTCCTCCTGAAACGAATCAATGGAGTTGTAACCTAACTCAGGAAATCAACAGCAATTTAGTCACAAAAAGACAAAACCTTCACACAAATCCCAGGCAAAATATTAGAGAAAATAACCTCCCGTTACACAGCAAGATGAACACATTTAGAGTCTCCCAGACAGGAGCAGAAGCGAGTTTCAGAGTAGAAAGACACCACTGATAATGCTCATCCACCAGCTCTGAAAAACTGCTAGGCTGAAGTCTCTGCTTTCCCCAGTTGCTGCAACAATGTATTGAATTTAAGAAGAGGAGTTGGTTTCAGTCAGAAAAAAGGCATCTTACATGTAGAAAAACATTACAAAACTCTTAAATTTACATATAGAATCCATCACTGACAAATCACGAATCTAGTTCTGCTGCTCCAGTAATATTTTTAAGAATTAATTAGAAGTCTTTGAGTTGATTTATTTTTTATAGTAAGTTTTGAAGTGGTATCTTCACATGGGAGGAACATAGCAGTTGCACGATTTTGCTGTTCACTCTGAACTTCATTAACTCTATCTAGTAAGGCAGATAACGAAGCCATCCTATTTCCAAGTTTGTATTTGTCATTTCTCACTAGTGAGGATTTGCTACTGTGATGTGGCCAGCACAGAAATTTTGCTTACCTGCAGCAAAGTGCAGCTGTGCAAGTTAGGGAAAGACAGCGGGAAATTTACATCAAGCAGGAAATCCCTGTTCCTCAGACAGCATGACCCCTGCTGTTTCTCCCCTTCGCTCTCCGCCCAGGAGCGCATGTGATGGAGCCTGTAGGATGCCTTCAGAGACAGGAAAAGAGCTAACCACCTGAAACAAAACACAGTAGGTAACATTTATTCACTGCTTTGTAAAAGAAAGGCTTGAGTATATTTACAACATAACTATTGGACACAAATGTTTTTTTACAATCTCAGGTTTACAGTGTCCCAACGTAAAGGAAGTATTTTTTGCTACACATCTTCCAATTATATTACTCTTTTTTTCATTTTTTCTAAGGTGGCTTTACTGAATCGAAATTATTAAATCAGAATACACTTTGAAGCACTCTGTTTAAAAGGGTCAAGCTCAAGTTAGCCACTGCTACTTAAAATTTCACTCTGACTTCTCTATATATTGCTCCATACAGAGTTTATCATAAAGATCATTCAGATAGATCAAGACAGATTTGTCTTATGTTAGTGAAACACAGACAAGAAACAGTGGTCCAATATAACCACAACAATAAAAGTATATCACACTTACAAAGCCCTAAGGAAAACACCGATATTTATCAATAAAGACTTGCTTTTATTCTCAAGTTTCATACAGTCACTATCTAACTTCAGTCAGAGTACTGTCTGTTCCAATATTTAAACAGATCACCTCCCTTTCCAAGGTAATACAGCTCACGGTGCTAAAAATCCATTATCCTAAGTCTACACATTGGAGTTCCATTCCCTATTAAAAACAGCACATGTGGAAAGTAGACAATACGGCTCGGAGCTGAAGAACAACTATCACAGAACAAGCTTACTTGGCCTGTGTTAAAACATGAGCTCAAGTTCAATTAGTAAGCACTGCAATAAAGTGGCCTTCAAAAGTCTGGATTTTGCACTTGATAGTGCCAGCAACCTCCAGCGTGATCCTAAGCAAACTCTTCTGTTGCCCTTTGACTGTGTTGTGTGTTTACAATGTCAAATCTTCGTAACAGAGGTTTTCTTTTGAAAGAGGCATAAAAATTGCCTTGCATGACAGTGCCCTACACCTAGAGGAACGCTCTAGAAGCTGCCATAATACTAGATAATGACAGGCAAGTGATAATATTAGGAGGCATAAAAAATGCAGTCTTATGGAGAGATGCCTCTAACATTACCTTAATTACTATAAAAATAAATAAGAAAAAGTTGTTCTCACCTGGCTAAATGTCCCTGATTCATGAGGTTTGCCATTTCTGCTGGAGAGACATCAATAAATCGGAGAAAAGAAAAACAGCTTTCTTCATTGATGCCTGTATCACAGAAACACTGAAGTTAGGCCAATGCATTTCACAGACACTCATAGCTAAAAAAGATACATTCACTTCATCAATTCAAGATACATATTCTCTGACAAATGACAAACCTAGGTGAATAAAAAGGAGATTCTAATTTAACCTAGAACTTTTAGAAATATTGAAAATTTAGTCTGAATTGCTGACTCCAAGTTCCAGTTCATTTTCTAGTCTGGGCAAAAGAAGGGCGTTTACCAAAAAGACAAATATATTCTTGGCCAGAAAGCCACGTAGCAGGTAAGGGCATTGATTGTGCCTCCTAATAATCAATAGGCAGTGTGCACAAACACTATCTGCCAGGCGTCTGACCAGAGCACACACAGCTCAGGATGCCTGCCCACCATGCTCCCTCTCACCCAGACAGGTTGGAAGGAGATGTAGGAATCGTGGGGGAATGTGAGTATGGGCATAAGGATGCCACAGATATGGTGAGGACAATGGATGCACTGCAGTGAAGTGTGGGGAGCAGAGTAGACATGTTTCAGTGTTAACGAAAAAAGCCTTTCAGGCCCACCCATGTGGTAAGGTGACAGAACTGAACACAGCCACGGCTCTGAAATGGATCGGGTACCTTAGAACAACAAAGCCAAGAGCTAAAGAGGAGGATTGTTAAAAAATAAGTATGTACACATCTACTGCAACCACGCAAGCCAAAGGAAGTGTTGAAAGAGGCCTTTCTGTATTGGAAGCAGAGCTGCGTATAAATACATAAATACGTGTGATTGACGAAAAGCTGGACGTGAGCTGGCAATGCGTGCTGGCAGCCCAGAAAGCCAACTGCACCCTGGGCTGCATCAAGAGAAGCGTGGTCAGCAGGTTGAGAGAGGTGATTTTGCCCCTCTACTCTGCCTTGGTGAGACCCCACCTGGAGTATGGTGTCCACCTCTTGTCCACCCTACATAAGAAAGGCATGGACATGTTGGAGTGAGTGCAGAGGAGGCTATGCAGATGATCAGATAGCTGGAACCCCTCTGCCGTCAGGACAGGCTGAGAGAGTTGGGGTTGCTCAGCCTGGAGAAGAGAATGCTCTGGGGAGACATTATTGTGGCCTTTTTGCAAGAAAGGCCCCATTTCAGTAGGGCCTGCAGCAATAGGACATGGGGTAACGGTTTTAAACTAGAAGACAGTGGATTCAGAGTAGAATAAGGAAGAAATTTTTTTAAATGAGGGTGGTGAAACACAGGAACAGGTTGCCCAGAAAGGTAACATTCAAGGTCAGGTTGGAAGGGTCAACCTGATCTAGGTGAAGATGTCCCTGCTCATTGCAGGGGGGTTGGACAAGATGATCTTTGGAGTTGCCTTCCAAGGCAAACTATTCTATGATTGCTACCAGCAACTTAAGCTCATTAACACTCTTGATTTTTTTAAAGGAAGAAAATTAAGAAAACAAAGGAGAGTGGGATTCACCTCAACAGATCAGATTTTATATTAATTCAAGTCAATGTATATACATACACACATTGTGGAGGTGCTGAGTAAGGGGAATGAAGAAACCTCACACTGCAAGGCATTTCTGTGTTCACATGAAAAAACTCTTACTATCTTTAGATAGATGTCACCTCAATTTCAGAAAGTTCTATTAAAAATAAATGTGTCTTCTTTTTTTGTCTACTGACTTATTTTCATAGTTTGTCTCATATCGGAAATGCTGATCTGAGCAGTTAAGAAAAGCCTTTCCAGATTTATACCATTTCCTTTTTCCTCTGTTTCTCCCCCTCCTCGCTCCCTACAAGTTACTATCTTATTAAGCCCTAGAAAAAGCCTTGGGAAATTTTACATTCAAAGTTTCTCAAATTTGGGTTAAGATAAAAGTGAATTCATTTTCACTCAGGATGATGATGCATGCTGCTAAAAGGCATGTGAAGAGCAGTTTGTTTTTCAACTTTCCCTTTGGTTTTGACATTTTCTTCTTTTTCAGATGTTCTATATGTAAGCTGTGCAAACAAAATTCTGCAAGACAGAGCTTGTTTTAAAGTGACTTTAGCTGGTAATTTGTCTAAGATGCAGGTTACAAAACAGTTCAAAAGAATCTGTCATAACTGTAGGGCTAAAATTCCTTTAGATTTTCTGAGGTTATCACAAATGCACTGTATTGCACACACTGATGAACTTTGCTCTTGAGCTTGTTGTTTTCTGTGTTAAAGGTACTAGTTACACCAGTCACTAGTTACATGCAGTCACAGGACTGGGACCCCCAGAGACGCAAGTAATGAATGACTTTCTCAAAGAACAGAAATTATTTGGAGAAATCAAATTACAGTTAAGTCTGGCCAGGTTGTGGTACGGGTGAGTCTGCAACCTAAACCTATATGTGAATATTCCATATCTCATATTTAATATTGATAATGTTAACTCACCTTTTGCTCTTTAAGAAAATATAATGACTTTCGTTTTAATACTTATACACACTAACCCAAAGGCTATGTAAAAATCTAGATTTTCTTTTTACATATGTAAAAATGCATGCTACCTTGTGTAAGTGCATACAACTTTTGCAACTTCTGACACTGTCCTCTACTCCTCAACTGTTAGGCTACAAAATTAATGGCTCCACCCAAGTTTTCCTCAACCATACCAAGGAGAGGACAGAGCTACAGTATCTACTTTCAGAGATAAGCATTTACAGTGTCAGTATACAAACCCTTTAATATCATCTTAAACAAAACTGAGTGCAAATCCACAGACACTTTAGCAAGCTAGACATGGAAACGCAGAATATTTAAACACCAGCACGGTCAGAGTTAACTGGCATACATCTCAGTTGGCTTGCTCTTTGTTTGATAACTAGGACTCATTTTGTTGGCTTTGCTGTTAACGCTGCAAAACATGACACCAAGCCCAAGGCTGGTTTCCTACTGCTTCTGCGTCTTCGATTTCAACTTCCTCTACACGCTATTCAATTGAATTCTGGCTATCTCCTTTCCCCTTCCACACTCATGAACAGAAGTAATATTCCCTAGAGAAATTTGGCACAATCTCACTGTTTTAGAAAAGATTTTTGTACTGCATATCTGCTAACTGCCCTAAGATGCTTTCTTGACTTTACGCTAGCACTTTTGTGAACTTATTTCCTCCTGAAACGAATCAATGGAGTTGTAACCTAACTCAGGAAATCAACAGCAATTTAGTCACAAAAAGACAAAACCTTCACACAAATCCCAGGCAAAATATTAGAGAAAATAACCTCCCGTTACACAGCAAGATGAACACATTTAGAGTCTCCCAGACAGGAGCAGAAGCGAGTTTCAGAGTAGAAAGACACCACTGATAATGCTCATCCACCAGCTCTGAAAAACTGCTAGGCTGAAGTCTCTGCTTTCCCCAGTTGCTGCAACAATGTATTGAATTTAAGAAGAGGAGTTGGTTTCAGTCAGAAAAAAGGCATCTTACATGTAGAAAAACATTACAAAACTCTTAAATTTACATATAGAATCCATCACTGACAAATCACGAATCTAGTTCTGCTGCTCCAGTAATATTTTTAAGAATTAATTAGAAGTCTTTGAGTTGATTTATTTTTTATAGTAAGTTTTGAAGTGGTATCTTCACATGGGAGGAACATAGCAGTTGCACGATTTTGCTGTTCACTCTGAACTTCATTAACTCTATCTAGTAAGGCAGATAACGAAGCCATCCTATTTCCAAGTTTGTATTTGTCATTTCTCACTAGTGAGGATTTGCTACTGTGATGTGGCCAGCACAGAAATTTTGCTTACCTGCAGCAAAGTGCAGCTGTGCAAGTTAGGGAAAGACAGCGGGAAATTTACATCAAGCAGGAAATCCCTGTTCCTCAGACAGCATGACCCCTGCTGTTTCTCCCCTTCGCTCTCCGCCCAGGAGCGCATGTGATGGAGCCTGTAGGATGCCTTCAGAGACAGGAAAAGAGCTAACCACCTGAAACAAAACACAGTAGGTAACATTTATTCACTGCTTTGTAAAAGAAAGGCTTGAGTATATTTACAACATAACTATTGGACACAAATGTTTTTTTACAATCTCAGGTTTACAGTGTCCCAACGTAAAGGAAGTATTTTTTGCTACACATCTTCCAATTATATTACTCTTTTTTTCATTTTTTCTAAGGTGGCTTTACTGAATCGAAATTATTAAATCAGAATACACTTTGAAGCACTCTGTTTAAAAGGGTCAAGCTCAAGTTAGCCACTGCTACTTAAAATTTCACTCTGACTTCTCTATATATTGCTCCATACAGAGTTTATCATAAAGATCATTCAGATAGATCAAGACAGATTTGTCTTATGTTAGTGAAACACAGACAAGAAACAGTGGTCCAATATAACCACAACAATAAAAGTATATCACACTTACAAAGCCCTAAGGAAAACACCGATATTTATCAATAAAGACTTGCTTTTATTCTCAAGTTTCATACAGTCACTATCTAACTTCAGTCAGAGTACTGTCTGTTCCAATATTTAAACAGATCACCTCCCTTTCCAAGGTAATACAGCTCACGGTGCTAAAAATCCATTATCCTAAGTCTACACATTGGAGTTCCATTCCCTATTAAAAACAGCACATGTGGAAAGTAGACAATACGGCTCGGAGCTGAAGAACAACTATCACAGAACAAGCTTACTTGGCCTGTGTTAAAACATGAGCTCAAGTTCAATTAGTAAGCACTGCAATAAAGTGGCCTTCAAAAGTCTGGATTTTGCACTTGATAGTGCCAGCAACCTCCAGCGTGATCCTAAGCAAACTCTTCTGTTGCCCTTTGACTGTGTTGTGTGTTTACAATGTCAAATCTTCGTAACAGAGGTTTTCTTTTGAAAGAGGCATAAAAATTGCCTTGCATGACAGTGCCCTACACCTAGAGGAACGCTCTAGAAGCTGCCATAATACTAGATAATGACAGGCAAGTGATAATATTAGGAGGCATAAAAAATGCAGTCTTATGGAGAGATGCCTCTAACATTACCTTAATTACTATAAAAATAAATAAGAAAAAGTTGTTCTCACCTGGCTAAATGTCCCTGATTCATGAGGTTTGCCATTTCTGCTGGAGAGACATCAATAAATCGGAGAAAAGAAAAACAGCTTTCTTCATTGATGCCTGTATCACAGAAACACTGAAGTTAGGCCAATGCATTTCACAGACACTCATAGCTAAAAAAGATACATTCACTTCATCAATTCAAGATACATATTCTCTGACAAATGACAAACCTAGGTGAATAAAAAGGAGATTCTAATTTAACCTAGAACTTTTAGAAATATTGAAAATTTAGTCTGAATTGCTGACTCCAAGTTCCAGTTCATTTTCTAGTCTGGGCAAAAGAAGGGCGTTTACCAAAAAGACAAATATATTCTTGGCCAGAAAGCCACGTAGCAGGTAAGGGCATTGATTGTGCCTCCTAATAATCAATAGGCAGTGTGCACAAACACTATCTGCCAGGCGTCTGACCAGAGCACACACAGCTCAGGATGCCTGCCCACCATGCTCCCTCTCACCCAGACAGGTTGGAAGGAGATGTAGGAATCGTGGGGGAATGAGAGTATGGGCATAAGGATGCCACAGATATGGTGAGGACAATGGATGCACTGCAGTGAAGTGTGGGGAGCAGAGTAGACATGTTTCAGTGTTAACGAAAAAAGCCTTTCAGGCCCACCCATGTGTACTGTGTAACCTCAATACCATTCACATATTTTTATTTTTTAACTTCTATAGAAAAATTATACTCTCCAAATTATTTTCCTTTTACGATATGCCGAAAAGTGATCCAAAGAAAAAGCCAATTATGAACACCAAAACAAACAGAAACCAGAATAATTGGCAAGATATACAGAAGTTAGAGAGTTACAGACAAGCGCAAACTCCTGCAGCTGCATCTGGTTCTTCTTACTTGAAAAGGGTTTTGCACAGTTGAGAGGTCCATGCTAACAGATTTCAGCACAGAAATGCAGCCAGGATATCTCTTGCTTTTTTCTCCTGAAGTTATTCCCACCCCAGCAGCTGAGCAATCTAGTTAGCTCTTTTTAGCGAAAAAAAAATCAATCATCTATAATAATAAATTATGTTTGTCAATATAAGCCGCTTATGCGGGTTTTTTGCTCATTGATTCGCTCCTGGGTCACTTGCATCTCATCTACTTTTTACTTGAAGAGAAGCTGGCAGTTTAACATACAATACAGACTGTACTGAAATGAATCCAGGAGTTCTCTGAACTGAATGTGTGAAAAATCCACATTAGACTAAAAAGGCAGCATTAATCCCTTGAAGCAAGTTAGAACAAGACAGGAGGAATGGAACAAGCGACTGCAGTAGGATTAAGAAGTGACTAAATAACAAGTTGTCCACAGATTATTCTTGCAGCTGTTTCCACCCTTTCCTCATTGAGCAAATGAAATATACATGCAAGTACAAATGTTAACAGAATTCGAACAAGTTCTAATCAGATAATCTCTGAGGACTAACTGATCTGGCCTCCTAGACCTTTCCCATGAATAAGACACATTACAAAAATCATCATATGCAAGTGTGCAACCCACTTGTTTCCCAGGACTGTAAACCTACCCTTCCTATGAAAGAGAGACTGCTGGATGTGGTCTGGTGCAAATGGCGAAAGTAAAACCCGTAACCACCTGAAAATGAAAGCAAAAAAACCAAACCAAATCACTAAAAAGGTGTTAACACATACAGTGTTATATCACACAATCAGCAGAAAATGTAGAGTAAGCATTCAGTTCCTCATTGTCAGTATTTCAGTGCCCTGGCTATCTGGAATTGGATGGCAGTAAGAGAAAAGCACCATCAGTCCACACGTGCTACTGGTCATTTTGACACTGAGACACACCATTGTTCTGGAGTTGCTGTAGAACAGTTGGTCTGATCTTCAAACAGAGCTTTTTCACCTCTGCCCCGAGCATTTCTCATAACTGAACGCAAACAAAATTAATCAAGAATTGCCACTTCCAGAGAAAACAGGAAACAGCACTCGGGCAGCTTCTATTCACCCATGGTAAGCGTTAAAAGCTGTCAAGGCACTAGAAGATGCTCACTATATTCCATGTCACAACAGACAGGCACTGAACATGAAAACTCACTGAAGGGAAACCAGTCTGGCTTTTTTTTTTTTTTAAGAATTCTTTTAAGGCTTAATTCTATTACACATCATCAGCAACAACTCTAAATTCCTTTCCCTGACTTTCTTCTTCCATCAAAGGTGTATTTGATGACCAGGATTCTACCAAGAAAGAGCATCAGGTATCAGATGCTTAACAGCTGAATGAATGAAAGAAAACTAGGAACGCATCGCTTGGCCAATGTCATTTAAGTACATCAGGTAAGGGAGTTAATTAGCACTTAAAAAGCTAAAATAAGTCTAAGTAATAACACTGAATAAGCTAAGCTGGAGAGGAAGTGAAGTAGGCTTGCCTGTCCCGTGAGTGGTTAAAGACCCTGATCTGTCCATGACGGTAGATGAACTTCGAAATCTGGTATGGCTTTAGGGAGATGTGAAATGGAGACCAAGTTTCTTGCCGCTCAAACAGCTCTGGGTGATTGCACACCTGTGAGAGAGAGAGCACGTCAAACACTGGGAGGAATTTATTTAGTCTGAGGCAGCATTTACATCCCAAATCAACTATGACTATCGATCACTGAAACTTTAATATTGATTAGTGTGACCCAGCTATTTAGTATATCTACTTACATTTGAATACAGCATCGTATCTTTTCCTATTCACGTAACAGCTATTGCCTCTTCTTCCCAAGCAAATGATCTCAACAACCAATTTGGAACCAAATCAGTTCGCAGATGCACACAGCACTTGGCTAAAGCTATTCTACCCCAACATCACGCTACACCGCATCAGAGACACAATTGAACTGCATGCAAATTTGCTTACCTATGCCAGAATTTTTTTTACATGGTGTTTTCTAGAAGCCGCATTTTAGTTTTGTGCTAATGAATGATTATACTGTTAAAAAATTATTAATGAAAATAGCCTTACCTTCCTGAACTGCATGACAAGGTTCATGAGACTACTAGTGGTGGTCTGTGCTTGCTGAGTAGTGCCCATCGAGGACTGCAGGAGGTCATCAATAGAGATTTTGTTTTTCAGAGCTTGGTACAACAGCTTCTGTCGACTTGTCTGCTGGCAGTACATAAGAATTTCAATCTGCAAAACAGGAATGAAGGTTTAGCCTTCTCTATCTCTGAAATAGAGGGTGACCACATCAGTACACACAAAGGAGAAATGTATCTTAAGCAAAACATAACTTTCTCAAAAAACACACATAAAGGCAGTCGCATTCATATTTGTATTTCAAGATCCAACCTGGAAAGGACTTAACAACGGGAATACTTTGGAAGGCTTAGATAACGATATAAGAGAAAGACCTTTAAAACTATGTGAGCACAACTAAGCAAGGAGGTATGTTCCTAAAAAGCTCTGAAAAGATCACATCTGCAGCTGATCAGCTTAAAATCTGACCTCAGTTCAACTGTGCTCCTGTTAGCATGCGACACATTTAAAGCCATCTTAAACAGGTGTCAGGAGCCCACGACAACCACAGGTGCACCACATTAACAACAGTGGCTGCGAAAAGTTCTTGTTTTGAAATTTAATAAGCACATCAGAGCAAAGCAGATGTCTCTCAGCCAGTGGTCCCAAAACTCGGGGACATGCTGACCACAAAATCATCCAGTATTGCTAAAATCCACATGAAATTAAGACACTAACAAGAGAGAAAAGTATGATGTTGCCACTATGTATTTCTTGCTCTTTCAAAGCAAGAAAAAAGAATCCTAAATCCATGTCAAATCCTTTACAAAGGCAATTGGAGATGTTTATGACCCAGTCATTTTCATATCAATCTCCTTCACTTCAATTAGTGCTATTTCTGTCAACTTAATCAGGCTTAAAGATTTTTTTATTTGTAACTGTTAACGAAATGTTTTCCCTACAAGAAAAGTTTATTAATTGGGAGTTCTTCAGCTACATTCACATCTAATGAGACTGCTGGCATGTGGTGCCAGAAACTGAAGGTTCATGAAAGGTCTACAATCAAATTTCAGGTATGCAGTCTGGCAAATGAGTTTGCAAAAACCAGATTAGAGAATAGAGCTATGACAATGAAGTTGAAATACTCATTCCAGATAAATACTTTTTCTAACCTTATCTGACAGCTCATTTTCCACATCCTTCTTGATTCTTCTCAACATGAAAGGCTTCAGAATCATGTGCAAGCGGGATAGCTGGTCTGAAATACAGGGAATGGGGAAGAAGGAACAACTACATCACCAAGGAAGAAAACTATATGGAGTTCTACTGCAAATTAAGTCCCTTACTGCTCAGCCATTACCCCCCATATGAATTCTTACAGCACAGAATTGGCATTTCTGTTTATTTTTCTTTTTTCAAATAAGCGCTAAGCTAAGATGTTTAGCCTATGAATCTAAAAATCTGCTTCAAAGAAGGAACTTCTAAAATATTTTATGTGTTATATGTTTCTCCATGCTGAACAATACAAATTTAAATTTATCACTCCCTATTAGTGGAGAAGAAAATTTCAGATGAGACACTGCTAATTCACAAAAAGAAATCGTTACATTTTTACGTTTCGCCTCCCAAAATTACAGCATCAGAAAAACAGGGCATACTGCACTGACAGACAACTGCAGGCTTTACAATAAGCTGTGAAACAAAGTTTGGGGTATTTGAGAACTAAAACCTTTACTTCTGTGACAAGTTCCAACTGTGCTCCGTTCTACTTTAATTACAAATCAGCTGTTTTACCTAGCTAGATTTTTCTACATAATTAACCCCTAAAATTTACTGTGAAGATTTTTTTTAAAGACTTTCTATGCTTTTCTTACAGTCCTCAAAAAGTGTGTAGTGCTTTGTGTCAGGATTTTTATGTCTAGAACTTGAAACACACTCAGGACATCTCCAAGACTGTGTGCTCTGTAGAAACTTAAAATATTTAAAATATTTGTCCTCCTGTGTTTGGGAAAGAAGACAACTGGAGACAAGAAGTATATCAACATTTTCACTACACGTTTTCCTGTTCATTACACATGCTACATTAGTCAGAAAAACAAATCTTGACATAAACCATGGACAACAATCTCTAACATTCCAATCCCATTATGCATCCTCTGCTTTAGACGACAATTCTCACACAAAAAATGTGAGATAAAGTTTATCCATTTGCAGTTGGAAAAGGCAACAGATTTTTAATATAAAAACTACTGCAGTTACAGCCTGCACTCACTCTCATCAATGGCAGATTTGTTCTCTGCATGGCTCTCTATGTCCTTAGAAAACCACTCGTTGAACTCTTCATGGGAATCAAACAGTGTTGGCATGATAAAATGCAGCAGGGCCCACAGCTAAAAGGAGAGGAGAAAACAGCAGATGAGCAAAAGTCACCCTACAGTGGACAAGGTAATTGGGGATCCCAAACCCTTGCAGCTCTTTATGAGCAAAATCACTTTACCAGACCATGAGACATGGCAAAATTAAACAAAATCTCAGTCGCATCCTCTTCCCACCCCTCCCCAAATGCCAGATACATCAACTGGCATTTGATATAAACACTCTTCAAAAGCCATGAGAAACTCAGCACAATTATTTCAGCCAACAGAAGGAAATGCCACAAGAATTAGATTTCACCCTGTAATCTAGGTATTACTAACTATCAGGTATCTTAAGTTTTATTTTCATTTGAATGCACAGCACATTTCCAAATTTTCCCCTGCCAGAGCTGATTCCATGTTTGTTTGCCAGTGGTTTGCTACAAGCATAATTCCACAACCACCCAAACATGACAGGTTTCTCAACTGTTCACGTGTATTTAGTATACATTCTTTTTATAAAGAAAATTCCACTCTCGTGAGCTCCCGAATACCTCAGCCATTGTGTTCTGGATTGGGGTCCCAGTCAACAACAATCTATTTCGACACTGGAACTGTAGTAGGATCTTCCAACGAACACTGATGAATAAAATTAAGAAAAGTCATTAAAACTGTTTTTTTGTACAAGGATATAAAACATAAGGTATTTTAAGACCAATTGCTTCCAGTGACCTTCCCAAATGACTTCTGGAGGTCACTGGGTGAAACTATCACAGCTACTGCCCAGTCTTTCAAAAGACAATTAGAGGAAGAAGTAGCCTTTTCAAGTTACAAAGAAATGCGTGCAATTTATATTATTTTTCTAAGTATCCTTTTCCTCATTTTTAATACAAATGCTTGGATACTTATAAAAGCTCATCACTAGAATAATTAACTTCCCAAAAGAAACAGTTACTACGAACCAGAACACCACATATTTTTCAGACATTGTAACACTATGTGCATGGGCCTCTGTGGCAGGAGCACTGAGCTAGACACTGCTGTCCTCCTAGAGGGGCAGTTTCCAAAGAATGCTGAAGAGACAGACTTCTGTTAGAAGGAGCCCACATCTAAAGCGGTCTTGAACCTAATGCCTACAGTGGCAACTTGGGCAAAGGTTATGGGAAAGCAATTACAGAAGTAAAGACGGACAAATCTATTACTTGAAAACAATTAGAAAACTTTCTGGCACAGAGTCTTCTGACAAAGATTGGGCTTTATTGCAGCCAACAGTATTCACAGGGTTCTGACCTTCATTTGTGTCTGGAAGTGCCACTGAAGAAGGAATCAAAATAATGCATTTAGCAGAGCCAATATAAGCAATAACACACTGAAAACTAGGGACTGTTCACTAGGCAGAATTCTATGAGGAAGGAAGGTGAACAGCATTTCACACTGTTTTGTTTAACTGTCCTGTGCTCCATCTAAGTTTCTGCTCCACAACTACTTTTTAATTACATATTTGGAGAAGGAAAATGTAAGTGCAAAAACCTAATGGATCAATCCAGTGTCACAGAATTATAGAGATACTTAGGTTAGACACTTAACGGGTCAATTTAAACTTCCATCAGTTTGTGTAATATTGATGTTTTCTGGATATTCCTTCAAGAGGCTGATAGAGAGGGAAGATTTTGTTTCCAGTTAATTTGTTACCTGGAGCTACTCTTGAGTGCTTGAGCTTCATCCAGCACCATATATTGCCACTTCACTCGCTGGAAATACTTCACATCCTGTACTACCAGCTGATAACTGGTGATCACCACATGGAAAGGAGCATCCTGAGTGTATAATGTCTTCTATAACCAAAAAATAAGAAACAAATGTCCACATAATGTAAATACATTGTGAAGAGTTCACTTGTGTAAACTGTAATTTCAGACTTCTGTTTCATAATCTTTTGTCATTATTACTGCATTTTTCCCCAGCTGACTTTTTTAATTAATTACAGCATGGTTATTCAACTGGTGGATCTGGAATTCAGCCCATTAGTCCCTGAACAATTTCAGATGCTTCTTAGCGTGCCAGACAAGACCCAGGCATTGAACCCTGCAAAATGCTGCTGTTAAATCAGGAACAATCTGACAGGCCTGCAGGGATGCTAGACTTGGGCATCCTGAGTTGGTTACTCAAATAGAATAAACAGTCCTTGACACTGAAACTTCCTGCCTTATTTACAGAGCTCTAGTTCCTTCAACCAAACTCCATACTGCCCTGAATTGCCTTGCACCATATTGCTCTCCAGCAGAGGAGAAGCTTTCTACCTCATTACCTTAATGAATATGCTACTACATGACGGATGGATGAAGAAACAGAATTCTGTATCTACACATCATTTAGCTTGGTGAGGTGTAGCAATAGTTTGTGGTTTACTCTTCGCAAATAACAAAAATGGTTGAAGCACATGGGTGTGTTGTTATTACCTGACTCCAGAACTTCCTGATCACCTTTCTATCGTGAGGATTTCCCCAATAAGGTAGCACCTGGAACAGCACAAAAGTAGAAAGACATTATTTTCAAATAAAGATATTTATTTAATCTAGCTCTAGAATTTTATACTATGTATTCCACAAAGTGAGAAAGACAGACCTCTTTCTCCAATACAACAAAAAGGGAAATTATCTTTCTTAACACAGAGGAAAATGATAAAGCACTTAAAAAGTACTTAGAGCATTCCAGGCAAAGGTATCAAGCAACTTATGCCTAGAGCAAAGACTGGATCCAGCTATGGTGAAAATTTCAAAATACCCAGTAGCACATTACACCTTCTAGTCAACTTTTTCTAAAAATTAAAAATGATACTTTGCTCATGGCAGAAAGATGTCCACAGTAAACCCTACAGGACTAGTGGGCTCGTTCTCCTGTTTAACATTCCCTGGTTTTGTATTTCAGAACTGTCCCCAAAAATCCAAAATAAAGCTAAAATACGGCCTGGACATATTTAGTATAAGAATTTTTAAAATTAAGTAGTACTGCCAAAGAAATCTGTTAATCTTATCCCATTGGTTTTGTATTTCAGAACTGTCCCCAGAAATCCAAAATAAAGCTAAATTATGGCCTGGACATATTTAGTATAAGAATTTTAAAAAGTAAGTAGTACTGCCAAAGAAATCTGTTAATCTGGATGGATGAAGAAGCAGAATTCTCTATCTACACATCATTTAGCTTGTTGAGGTGTAGCAATAGCTTGTGGTTTACTCTTTGCAAATAACAAAAATGGTTGAAGCACATGGGCGGATGGATGAAGAAACAGAATTCTGTATCTACACATCATTTAGCTTGGTGAGGTGTAGCAATAGTTTGTGGTTTACTCTTCGCAAATAACAAAAATGGTTGAAGCACATGGGTGTGTTGTTATTACCTGACTCCAGAACTTCCTGATCACCTTTCTATCGTGAGGATTTCCCCAATAAGGTAGCACCTGGAACAGCACAAAAGTAGAAAGACATTATTTTCAAATAAAGATATTTATTTAATCTAGCTCTAGAATTTTATACTATGTATTCCACAAAGTGAGAAAGACAGACCTCTTTCTCCAATACAACAAAAAGGGAAATTATCTTTCTTAACACAGAGAAAAATGATAAACCACTTAAAAAGTACTTAGAGCATTCCAGGCAAAGGTATCAAGCAACTTATGCCTAGAGCAAAGACTGGATCCAGCTATGGTGAAAATTTCAAAATACCCAGTAGCACATTACACCTCTTAGTCAACTTTTTCTAAAAATTAAAAATGATACTTTGCTCATGGCAGAAAGATGTCCACAGTAAACCCTACAGGACTAGTGGGCTCGTTCTCCTGTTTAACATTCCCTGTTATCCCATTGGTTTTGTATTTCAGAACTGTCCCCAGAAATCCAAAATAAAGCTAAATTATGGCCTGGACATATTTAGTATAAGAATTTTAAAAAGTAAGTAGTACTGCCAAAGAAATCTGTTAATCCACTTATAGCTCAGAATTTCCTGGGTCCTATTACTCAGCACAGATCTTTGCAGTGCAGTTACTGGTTAGTAATACTGCACTGCCATCTTCTGCCTGCTGAAAGGACTACCCTCAACTCAGTGAGGAATGCCGGTTTGTGAGGTTGCCAAGCATCTTAAAACATCTTGACCCTTTACCTGACAAGCTCCAAATTTCAAAGTGCCTTTAGCTGAACGTTCTTCCCACTGTTCTGCAATAAGGATGCTAGTAAAAAAAGGGCAGACTAACCCAAAAAGTGATTTGCCTTTTAGTTTGCATATTCTGCCATGGACCTGAAGAAATTAATCCGCTGTGATTTATTGACTACACACTTCTGTATTATTAGAAGCACCCGTGTATGATTAGATGGTTGAAAAAAGATTGCTCCAAGTTGTAAACACATAACAATCAAGTTTAGAAAACTTGTTTTTAAAAAGGGTTCTGTTCCATGGATAAGGTAAACATTATTATGCAATAAACACAAAGAGCAGCAACATAATTACAGAAACAGCTTCTTTTTGTGTGATCAAAACCCAGAAAATTATCTTTTTATAAGCATCCTGACTGCATTTTTGAAACTTTTTCTGTATTTCATTCACGAGAAGGAGAAAGCATAAGCAGTGGCTCACCTATTCTACGCAATGAATTAAAGGATATGAGAGAATAAATAGGTAGAATGGCCAGCTGCTCTAATGTTTTCTACTCCAGGGTAGTTAACCAGGACCCCCATTGTTATGGGCTATGCAAATACATTAATGGTTTATTTCTAGTTGCTTTTTTTTAAAAGTAACTCCTCACTAACTTAAGCACTTCTATTTCTTCATCAGTTTTTTTAAAGTCTCAGTAATCCCAAATTATTCCAAAATATAAGACACGTGAATCATGCAGCACTGAACTGTGTTCTAGCACTTCTCCTCATCCAGATACCTCAAACTATACACCACCATAACCAACACAGGGTCTCACCAGGGATCTGCAGAGCAAGCTATTTGGTAAAAGGCAAGTCCTTTAACACTGCCGTACCCCAGATCAAGAAATCAAATAATACGTCCAAGTTTTTTCCTCCAACTCATTAAGTAAGCTAAGAATTTAAAACAATTAGCCTGGATGTTACTGGTATACTAGCTACTTATAACTAGGTGTCTTTTACTGTTCTTAAATTTTCTCTGTAAAATAGAAAATCAGATATTTAAAAAAAAATTATCAAGACCTCTTCATATCAAAGGCAACGACATTAACAACTCAAATATTTAAACTATAACCTATTCTTCTTTGCAGATGTAACAGCTATAAGCTTCTGACGATTCTGTCTCTCTAATTCTAAAATTTCAGCAGTGTTTCAACAGCACATGTTCTTTTCTAATCTTCCTTTGCAATACATCAATTTTTTCCACTGGGTAATACGTAAGCAGCGTGCTCTTCAGTAACTGATTGCTCCTTCCTTTCTACCTTACTATGTTTTCACATGCACAATATACCTGAAGCACTCCATTTACTTTCTCCTAATCTTTTTGCTCTTATCTATTTGTGCCTCACTTCTCTCCTTTTTCTTGATTACTGGTTGTATGTCTATGGTTCTACTTTTCTATAGTAACAACTGCATTCTCTCTCCCTCTAATCTGTTTAGATTTCAGTTCTGTTCACATACAATCTTCATCTTATCCGAATTGATGTGAATGACTGAAGACACTGCTCTAACTCTAAGGACAGTACATAAGACTGAAATATTATTCTTGTATCTGCTGCCAGGCCCACACATTAGAACTGAACATCCACTCCCTGCCACACTTCAATTCCTTACTGAGAAAGTGTCTTCAAGCTGTTGCAAAAAGGAAAATCGTATGATTCAAGTAAGAACATTTTTAAACACTAGATAATTGAATGCTCCAGAAAAAACACGCTGACAGAAAAAAAAAAATCAGAATCAAGCCCATCACAGAGTTTCAAATTCCAAGAGAATTAGGCATCCAGATGTGGCAACAAACTCAGGAGAACAAAACAGTTTGCTTTTGAGAATACAGAAATAAATTTCTTGCACATGCTTATTACCTTAAATTTAGGTACAAATCTGGCAAACTCCTGGTGCCAGTTGTTAAGAGTAGAGGCAGGTGAAATTATTAAAAAAGGTCCCCAGATGTTCTCTCTCTGGAATATACACATTAAAAAAACCACACACAGGAATTAATTGGGGGGAGGGGACATAGAGACAGTGTGATACAGCTTTGCAACTACTGCATGACAGTGGCTACATAAGAGAGGAAACTATATGCAATGTAACAAAACCTCCTCCCAGCACAGCAGGGTGATACAGAAATCAAACAGAAAAGATCTAATGTTTAACTAGGACTTATTTCGTAACAGCAAACCAGAACAACCACCATTCTTTAAATCTGGCTCGTTCCTTTGTTTCTGAAAATTGCCACCTTCCCATCACTAGCAGTCCCTGTCATTTTGGGGAGGAAAAGAACTTCAGGTGGCACTGGCAAGCTTTGCTCCGTAACATCATATTAGAGTGCCCTCTGGTGAATAACAAAAGTTGGGCCATTAGTGTATGGTAGTTACAAGCTGGCCAGCAGAGGGGAGAGCCAGAAAAAACTAAAAGCCCTGTATAGGCTTCCAAAAATCTCAGCTTTCAGTGCAAGAGGGAGACAAGCCTATCTGTTACCCCTTCCATACAGAAGAGCTCAAAAGTCTCAGCTCTGCACACTCTTCCAGTGTGGTGGCTGATAGTGCCAGTGAACTGGTACCAAAAGGAACATAAACAAATGCACATAGTTGTCATTTGGTCACTACTGCTGCTAGATCTGCTCTCGGTATCACTTGGCTGATCTCTCCTATTTAAGGCAAGTGACCGGATACCAATCAAAGCTTTTTTTGGTTTGTTTGTTTTTTGTTTTGTTTTTTTTTTTTTTAAATCAAGATATCTATTTCTGCATAAAGAAAGAAACTCCTGTTGCTTTTTCTGTTTGGTTTGTCTGCCCTGGCACAGAAGATTAACTATTCTTCCTAAAAAAAACCCCACAAATATGGAAATCCACAGGTTGCCATGAAGCTCAGAATTTGGGCTTCATTTGTACAAGTCTACAACTTGTTCTCTTATCAGGCTTTCACATTAAGTGCAAGTGAAAAGGTGCTACTCTGTGAATAAATGAAAATTCCATTTTTATTTATATATAATTACATATATAAACACACACACATAAGCATTTACATACACACACCCCGTTTCAAAGGTAAAGCTTTAAAACAAAGGGAAATGCCACAGCTAAAATGTCTTTTAAAGCATTTAAGCTTTATAATTAATTTCAAACACGTGAAAAGCTTGCATCTTCTATCAAGCATACTGACCAGGAAGAAGCTTTAATCCACCTACCTCAGCCAGATGTGCAAGGAGAGCAATACTTTGTACTGTTTTACCCAGACCCATTTCATCTGCCAGGATTCCATTGATACCCTGCAAAAGATCCATAAATGAACACCCTTCACCTCACTATTTTTTAATCCATACAGAACTAGCAGAAGGGTTACCACTGAATTTGGGGGGAGCAGCTCTAGCGTAACAACTCTGAAACACCTTATTGTCTCTTACATCTTCTACTAAGATAATTTATCTCAATCGTGCTTTCATTCGTTTCTTGGGCTGATTTTTATCCTCAGTCTGTCTGCACTTTGCAATCCCGTTGCCAACTGGGTATGCCCACAAAGACAAGTCTGCCTGCACTTTACCAGCTGACCAAA